CATGGCTTGGGCCCTTTCAGTGGAGGTTCCCCTTAACTTTTGGCGAGCAGGCTTGTACAGTGGATCGACATTGAGGCGGTGGGTAGCTACATCCGGGTCGATGCCCTCAAGGTCCTCATGGGACCAAGCAAAGATGTCCATATTACGCTTCAAAAAATCAATCAACAGGGGAGTCAGCTCTTCAGGAAGGGAAGAGCCAATGTGAATTCTTCTGTCTGGGTGCTCCTTTTCTAAAACCACAGGGATGAGTTCCTCGACTGGTTCTCCTCTTTCTGTTGCGGAGTCATCCCTTGGGTCAAGGACCTCAACCTGCAATGCTTCTTGGGGCTTCCTAGCCTTCATAGAGGATACATAGCACTCTCTGCCTGTTATTTGGTCCCCTTTGACCTTTCCGACTCCATTTGAGGTTGGAAAGCGGAGAACGAGATGGTAGGTAGAGGGCACAACTCTTAATGTGTTAAGAGCTAGTCGCCCTAATATGATGTTGTAGGCTGACGGGCACTCTATTACCAGGAAATTGACCATGACTGTGGAGCTTCGGGGTGTTACTTCGGCGGTGACGGGAAGTGTGATGGATCCAAGGAGATACACTTTTTCCCCTGAGAATCCAATGAGGGGTGACTTGATTGGTTGTAGCCTCTCCTTGCCCAGGTTGAGCTTGTCATAGGCCTCTACAAACAGGATATCTGCAGAGCTGCCACTATCCACCAGGATCCTGTGCACATGAAAATTGGCCACCGTCATGGTGAGCACCAAGGGGTCGTCATGGGGGTGTTGGATTTCCTCCAGGTCCTTGTCTGAAAAAGATATGACCTTGTCGCCTTCCTGCTTCGGCACCTTAGATGGGCGCATCTCGTAGACATGTCTTACTTTCCTGGCATGGGCCTTCATCGCGGAAAGTGATTCTCCTCCACCTGCTAGTCCCCTTGAGATGGTGTGGATTTTTCCCACGGGCTGCTGATCTTCCTGGTTGTGAGGTTGTGGTGCTCGTTCCCTTCCAGCAACGTACTGGCGTAAGTGACCACGCTGGATGAGCTCCTCAATTTGCCTCTTGAGGTCGTAGCAATCGTCGGTGTCATGCCCGTGGTCACGATGGAAACGTCAATACTTGTTAGGATTTCTGCGATTTGGAGGAGACTTCATTTTTTCAGGCCACTTTATCGTGGGGTCATCCTGGATCTGGAATAGGATGTGTTCCACGGAAGCATTGAGGGGGGTGAAGGGTTGACGGTTCCTCTGAGGAGTAGGACCTAGCCGGTCCTTGATAGGGACTTTCTCTGTCCTGACATGTTTGTTGCTGGTCCCCTTCTTATCGTCCTTCTCCCTTTCCTTCCTTTTCTCCCCTGCTCTGAAAGACTCACCCCGCCTGGCCCTTGTGATGTCTTTTGCGTTTATGTACTTTTGGGCTGTGGCTAGCAGCTCTGGCATGCTTTTCAGTGGGCGCTTCAGAACTGAGAAAAGGAAGCTTGATGAACGGAGGCCACCCAAGAAGGCGGTCATCGTCACCTTGTCGTCGGGTTCATCAACTTGGAGTACCTCCTCGTTAAAACGAGTGAGGTAACTCCTCAGGCTCTCCTCGCGGTCCTGCTTTATACTAAGCAGGTGCGTAACTGGCTTCTGGTGGCGACGCCCTCCAATGAAGTGTGAGACGAATGATCTGTTAAGCTCGGCGAAAGAGGCAATAGAGGCGGGGGAGAGCTTAGTAAACCACTGTCAGGCAGACCCCTTTAACGTGGTTGAGAGTGCCCTACACATGATTTCGTCTGGTACGTTGTGCAATTGCATCAAGGTCTTGTAAGTGTCGAGGTGATCCAGTGGATCCTTTGTTCCATCAAAGGTCTCCACATATGGCATTTTAAACTTCTGAGGGAGGGGGTAGTTTGCTACATCAGGTTTGAATACGCCTTATCAGGTGGTCAACAGTCTCGGGTCCTTGTGCCTTCATGGCGTTGAAGACATCACCCAGTTGATTCTGTACCTCCTTTACCTTCTCGTCCCAATAATTGGGGACTCCTCTGGAATGATCATGGAAGTGGCTTCTATGCTCCATGCTTTGGTTTTCACCCTCATCCTCCTGGAGATAAGGGTCCTCTCCCTGGGAAGCAAGGGGAGGGGGAGGTGGAGCTCCCTCATGTTGGGCTTCCCGAAGTGGGGTGCCCGGGCGTGGAGCAACAGGGCGTGGTGCTCCTTGATGTCTAGGACGTGGAGCTCCTTGGTGTGCTCCATGTTGTGCACCTCCGTGGGGCCCTCCATGTTGTGCACCTTCGTGTGGTGCTCCACCTTGGGGTCCTCCATACTGTGCACCTCCGTGTGGTGCTCCTCCTTGTCCAGCAAGTATGAGTTGCAGTAACTGTTAGTTTTGAGCAACCAGTTGCTGCATGGTCTCCAATATTTGCTGGAAATTCGGAGCTAGAGTATCCGGAACAGGGTTGGTAGGCGGGGGAGTAACCTCCTCCTCTCGTAGAGGATTGTCTTCATGTTGGTTCATGGATCGAGTAATGATCGCCATTAGTTAATGGATGTAATGTTCAGGAGTGAGAATTTTGTCGAATTCCTACAGACGGCGCCAAACTGATGATGCACAAAAATGGTTTTGCACACCACCTGTCAAGTATAGGTAATAAATGCAGTGAAATCAATGAAAAAATTAAAGAAGACATGATTTATAGTGGTTCGGTCAATTCGACCTACGTCCACTCTTCAATAGCTTCAGTTTCCAGGTATTTTATCAATTCAAATGTATGGAGAATAGAGATACAAGCTTTGAGAGAATGGAGAATCAAAGAAGCAGTGGTCTCCGGTCGTCGGTTTGTCCCCTGTAAGTGTTGGTGGGGCGTGCTATTTATATTGGTCTCCTAACAGATTGAGGCTACTTTATAGCAGCTAAGAGATCATTCTTGTGGAGATCATGACTTATCCTCAAGGCTACTTTATCGCAGCTAAGAGATCATTCTGGTGGAGATCATGACTTATCCTCAAGGCTACTTTATAGCACTAAAAGATCATTCTGGTGGAGATCACGACTTATCCTCAACGGAAGGAGGAGGTTTGAGAGCTCTTCATGAAACGTGGTCAAAGATTGGACCGTTTCCTTCGGTGGTGCAGATAAGCTTCACATACTCTCCTCTTGATGACGTGCTAAGCAAAAAGTCTAATCGGTCTTGGACTGTCTTGGGCTTGGTGGATTCAAAATGAGGTTGGGCTCCTCAACCGGGGTTGAACTTTAACACATAAATTGGACTATTTGGGCTTAACCCATCAAATAAACCCATTTTTCTTGTTTATCATCACATTTATTCATACAATTTATTAAACGAATTAATGAGTAATAAACAGGTTAAGATATATCAATAAAAAATAACGCGTTTATGGTCTACCTGAATTTGATAAGATCAAACGTAAACTTGTTATTTTTTGTTGATAAGTGCTGAATAATTAGATAAAGTTATATTTTTGCCAAGCCTAGTAGTTGTAAAAGAGTGAGATTTTTTCTAATATATTATTTTTTAGTTTCACTCAATAATATGTAAACCCACATTTAAAATCTCAAATGACATCTCAAATCAATCAGAGTAAGTAGATAAGTGGATTCCATTTAAAAAAAATTATGCGATCCACTCATCTAATAGTCTTTTTTTATTTGAGATATCATTTAGAATCTAAATTTGGGTTGTATAGTATTTTTCATAATATTTTATCCATCATAAATTTTCGAAAAACTTGCTATTCAGAAATAGATAGTCTCGTGTAAATGATTTAACCTTAATTTAAATGGTAATGTTACGAAAGATAGAAAGTAAGAAAGATGAAAAGTAATAAAAATACACTTTCTATCGTTCAAAGAAGGAAAATAAAAATGATACATTTTCCTTCTTTTGTGTTTGGTAAGATGGATTATGTCGTGTCAGATTCGTATTGAGTCATTACGGATTTGTGTCGAACATTAACCAAATCTAACTTAACTCATTTAATTAATTGTATCGTGTCGAGTCGCGAGTTGACCTGCTTATCTTTGTATCGTGTTCGTGTTCGTATTCGTGCTGACCCACATAAGCTTTGAATAAAAAATTTAACGCTAATATTGTATTTTCATTTAATTGAATTCATGTTAATATTTTTTCTACAAACTAAAAGTAAGTTAAATAATAATAATAATAATAAATATCTTTTTATATAATAATTATGTCAATGTTTAATAAATAATTACAAATAATTAATATTTTATGTCAATAATACTAGTTAAACATGTTAGTTTCGTGTTAATTTTGTGTTACCATATAAACGAGAAAATAGAGAAAATGTTTATTTTTAAATAAACAGGTTGATGATGTCAATTTTGAGTTTGACGGGTTAAACTCTTATTCACGTGTCAGGTCATTTTCAAATTCGTGTCGAGTTATAATCAATTTAGTGTTTAGTTCAAGTTATGTTATCGTGTTGAGTCAAAAATTTTCATCCCTAACTAAGATGGAAAAAATATATTTTTTAATTTAAATTTATTTTTTTAATTTTATATGTATATATCAAAAGATATATAGACAAATAAGATACATTTTAACACAAATAATTAACTTTTCATTCATTTTTTTTCTGAATTTGGAATGATTGATTTTAGCGAGTTGAAATGAGAGTTAATTTATCCATTTTTTTATCTTTCTTATTTTGTTTTTTTATCAAACACCATATTAGACGGACAATAAAATAGAACAAAAAACGATGTACTAAATAATGTAGGGCTGATATTCATTTTTAAATTTTAAAATTCGCACATGAATCAAATCATTTATTCTCTATTTTTTTAAACAAGTCTCCAATTATTGTAATTTGAGAAAATATTTATTAGATGGGTTGTAGATCAAGGCACAAAGACCCATGAAATCTCCTCTTTTCGGCATCCAAAGCCTTTAAAAGGGCCTTTTGCCTTGTCATCGAGAACCAACCGAAAAAAAGCTCCTCTATTACACAGCCTCAAGAAAAATATTCCACCCCCCCCCCCCCCCCCCTCTCTCTCTCTCTCTCCCCGCACAAGACGCTTCGGCATCTGTCTCTCTATGCCATCAGACGCTCAGACTCCTCAAATGGTCTCTCTCTCTCTCTTCATATATGCATATATTTATCATATCTTTCTTTCTCTCTATCTACGTATATGCACATATTTATCATATCTCTCTCTCTCTCTCTCTCTACATATATGCATATATGTATGTATTTATCATATCTCTGCTGGGTGTGTATTTGCATATGTATATGTAAATGGCTTTGCTAATTTACTTTTGTTGACAACTGACCCAAAAAGAAGCCAGTTTTTAATTGCCTAACCTTTCATTTGATCGGAAAACCGTCTTTTCGGTATGTACAGAGCTGTTTTCGTGCTTATATATATATATATATACATTTTCGTGGGAAACTGGGTTTTGTGAGAAAAGGGTAAATTAAGGAGAGAGGGCCAGAGTTGGTTTGTCATCTTCTGTTTGTCTTTCTTTGACCTTAAAGGTATACATGGTAATAACTTGCCCACTGTAAAAGCAACTACAATTTTTTATATATATTTTTTGCATTTAAGTAATGAATTATTATTATTATTATTACACACATATATATAGGTAAAATATAAAATGATATGTGTTGCAAGTGAAAATATGTTACAAGTTAAATTTAGGCATCATTTGGCAATTATTCTTTTTTTTTTTTTGGTCTTATTTTTTGAACATAATCGCATTTACATCAATAAGCAAATAATAATGTATATAGCATTCAAGTGTTGAGAAGCAAATGTGTTATATTTATAATTTAGAATAATATATAATTCTTACACTTTTTTTATGACGTTTGGTTTGAAGTAAAAAAAGCAAAAAATTGTAATAATTAAGATACTATATGATAACACTCTTTATCAGTAACTAAAAAAATATATCTTTAACCGTAACTTTAATCATAGGTACGAGAATATATGTGTAAATGTATAAATATATTATTTGTATACTATAGGGTGCATAATACTTTTGCAAAATAGTAATTACACATAATTTTATTTTTCTAATTAACTTATTTTTCTTTTATAATATTATTAGACAGTAATTAACATTAAATATTTAGCCTATACTTTTTATATTTTCTGAAATAATAAAGTGGGGGGGTGGGTTGGCTTTGGCCTTTAGTTTTCCGACATGTAATGTTAATTTAATTACCCTCGAACAAATCACAAAACTATATGGCTGTCTTTTTCTCTTTCCCAGATTGTGGACCGGGTTTAAGCTGAGAATTATCTTCCGGCCCGGCCCGGTATGCTAAGCATTGGTTTCATCGAACCGAACCGAACCATTGTCGTAATTCAAAACAACAATGCTCTAATCAAAAAGCTCCAACTCTGAGGTCAAATCGAAGAGAATTTTAAATTATCTGCCCCTAATTCTTTTCATTGTCTTGGTGGTGTTTTCTCTCTTTGGTCTACCATGTGTCTTCTGTAATTTGATATTGATATGGAGATATAATTTGAAAATTTTAGAAATCTAGTGAATTTGTATTATTAGATGATTTGAGTCCGAATATCAAATAAATCCACTACTAGTCCACGTTATTATTGTATTAAATCACTAAATTATGTTTTCAAACTAAACACGAACTAATATTATTGTACATGGAAAGCCAACGAGTAAAAATGGTTATAGTTTAGAAGCCATGGCCTACCTTAGACCTCAACAACTAACATTTTTATCAATAATTTTATCTCATTTTCTATTTGGTCTTTTAATTTTTTTTTTTTGTAATTTTGTGAATTATTTTTTATTTAGTCCCCACTTTAAGGTTTATGCTTTTTTGGATTTATGGTGCAATCTGTCTTTTGTTATGGAACCATTATTCTAAATTCTCCCTATAGTAGTGGTGCTGCTGGTAAGTGGTCATGTCACAGCTAAGCATGCTGAACGTTCTTGTTTTGACGAAGATTCTCCAATTAGTTTTAAATGTTGAAGATACATGTGTGTTAGTAACTTTAGATTATGTACACCAAATAGGTTGGTTTAGTGGGGCACCAGTCTTATTCCTCACCTTAAGGTTGAGAGTTCGACTCTTGGAGTTTCCATTAGGACTTAGTATAATCCCACCAGTGAAGGCTATTAGGATGGTCGCTGAACGCTCTTTCTTGTCCCCATAAAAAAAAAAAAAAACTTCTGATTATGTTGAATTTTGAACAATAAAGAATACTCGTTTGGATTTAAGTTTGTTAAAGATCTTCCAATTATTTTGCAATCCGAGAGGTGCCAAACCCGGGATTTTCTTAGAGGGGGGAGCAGAAATAGGGATTTGGATCATGTCAATCTTACATTTTCTGAATTGCAATGGGCAAGATATCTTAAAAACAAGAACATCCACAATAAGTACCCTATGCATATTGTTATTCTAATGGTTAGGTAAATGTTGCTGTCTGGTTTAGGTCACTGAATGTGATGTGAGGTCCACGACTGTTCTAACGGCACCATTATCACTGGAGGATGAATCAGCTGCCAATTACAGAGCTCCTAATATTCTACAACGAATTTTGAGTATCTTGAAAGATGTACGGCCAGGATCTGATCTTACTCGCTTCCAGGCAAGTTACTATAACAATGAAGAAGATAAAATAGGCCACTTTAATGAGCTGTAAGTGCAGCTAAGAGAAGTTGTACGCTTTTGAGTAGTTTCTCCTAAGAACAAACATTTGAAACAGTTTGTGAAAGTATGTGTTCTTTGGTCTATTAGTGTGCATGTGTGTTTTTTGGAGTATATCAGTCAGTTTCTACCCAAAGAATATAGCTTGTATCCTCAGATTTTCGTGTCCGAAACGTTCAAACAAATACTGCTCAATAGTACACTCATTTACAAGGTCCTAGTTGAGAAGGAATCAAAAGAGTTTCCAGATGATGTGTTATAAAACATTTCTTTTTCTTCTTCTGTTTCAAGTGTCTTTGTTTATTTTCGTTTTCTTTTCACCCCAAGGCAAGTAATAGTCGGCTCAGATAATAATGTGTGTTATGTGAGTCATTGAATTTGATTACTCTATTAGCATCATGGTTGTTGATACTGATTTAAGATTGTGTTTGTTGTTCTGGCTGCAAGTTCAGCTGCCACCACTCTTCAACATTCCAAAGTCACAGCTTCAGTGTTTTGGAGAATCGTTGTATTGCATTAATGCTGATATGTTGAGTAGGTGCGCCAATGGGGAGAGCGCGTTTGACCGATTTACATCTGTTGTTGCTTGGAACATATCTACCTTGCGTCCTCCAATGTTTGGTTTAGCTCCTTACAATCCCATTCTTGGCGAGACTCACCATGTCTCAAGGGGCAGTCTCAATGTGCTACTAGAACAGGTATTTTTCTTTGGCACCATTTTATCTCAGGCTCTTTCACGCTTGTTTGCCAGCAATGCAACTGTTGTGTTATATGAGCCCTGGGGTTCATGATTTCAGGTTTCGCATCACCCACCAGTGTCTGCCCTTCAAGCGACAGATGAAAAGGACAACTTGGAAATGATATGGTGTCACTATCCTGTTCCAAAATTCCAAGGTATTCCACTTCTCCGCCTTAAATCTGCTTATGTCAACTATGGAATTACGGATGCTACTTTCATTTGAGTCATTTGACCTTTTATCAAGACAATGCGTCGAGGTTTCAATATTCGATTTCACAAAGTTGAATATTGTCTATATAACTGAAAGATTAGACTTCTTTTATAGCCTTAAGAAATTGATGCATGCTAAATTTGAAAAACAAATCTTCGTCTTGTTTCAGCTGTTTCTCTTTCACCTTCTGTTTCTAAATTGGTCATCTATTAGAAAGGTGTTCTATCTTTGTATTGGGGATACTCCATGTATGGGAGATTGGCATGTCAGGCACTTCTCGAATCAGGCTACCGGTACATTTTTCCATAATAATTTTGACACTAGCAGAACAGCACATCACTATTTCAAAACTGCAAATAATAGTCAAGGAGTTTCCGATACTTGGAAAGATTTCTATATTCAGATTTCTGACAAACACAAACTTAGGGGATACTTGTGTGGCAAACACAGCTATCAAGAAAGTGGAGAAACAAATTGCTTCCACACATGTATTATGTCTGTCAAACGGCCAGGCTTTATGTTTGTTCACAACCTAGGAGAAATTTGTCTGTCTCTGCATTGTACTACCTAGGAGAAATTTGTCTGTCTCTGCATTGTACTACCTAGGAGCTATGGTATGAGTTGGAGTTGTGAGAAACTCAACCTGAGGGTTATCTTTTGATGTTCTTCAAAATTCTTATATCGGATGGTTTTGTTCTGCTCAGTAGTTATATGATAGTGCATCTCGTATATAAAATTGTACAAACAACAACTTCGATATCTTTATGCTTGTAATTCAACTGTAAGTTAATTTTCGTAATTGGGGAATATTTACTTCAGATTATTTTTATTCCACTGCACTTCTAATTCTTTCCATTAAACAAATGAGGTTCTGGTTGTAGCATATCACAATAGAGCACTGTATTGGCATAATAACTATCACAATAGCCTCCCTTCTCTTATGATGGTCAAAAACATAATCTCAATTCTTTCGGGTTGATCACAATTTCAAAACTTGAGGTTTAAAATAGAGAACAGGAGGGCCATAAAGCATTGTGTCAGGAAAATTTCAGAGTATCAATCCTGAGTGAGCTGTATTTTCATCATGTAATAAAATTCATTGCAGGCCATCTATATGATATTTCATTAAGCATTTGTTTGTGTTCCGAAATACCTGTTGTAGGTATTTCTATAGAAACTGAGGTGCATGGGAAAAGGCAGCTGAAGTTCCTGAATAAGGGTGAAACTTATGTGATGAACTCCCCGAAACTTGTGATAAGATTTTTACCAAAGCCTGGTATTCATTGGTTGGGAAATGTTACAGTCAGATGTCAAGAAACAGGCCTTGAAGCTGAGTTATGCATTGGTGGCAATTCGTTTCTAAGTCGTTGGGCAAACTACAGGTCTATCAAAGGGAAGATCTTCATGTCTTCGTCATTAAAAACCATTTATGAGATTAATGGTCATTGGGATAGGTATTGCACTAAGACATCCACTTCAACCGCTCTTTGCATTTTCTTGGATTCACAGTAATTCTTCCATGCATACCTTCTTTCTGTTTCCATGGGTAAATCTTTCTTCCTTTGTTTTATTGGCTGAAAACGAGTTTGAGTTTGAGTTTGTGTTATCTGTAACAGTTTAATTTGCAATCGAAACTCAAGCTTCACTAAAATTTTGGATATTGGAAAGTCAGATTTCCTGCATTGAAGATGGCTTTTTATCCTCCATCATTAACCTAGAAGATGTGCAGTGCAAAAATAATACTGAACAACAGTTGTCAGACCCTGTTATCTTGCATTAACACATAAATATATAGCAATTGACATCAAATATCGGAAGTTCTGATTCTCTACGTGTTCTAGTTTAATTGTTTACTCTTAACCTGATATGCAGAACGGTCACGATCAAGGACACTGCCAATGGAAAAGTCACAGTGATATACAATGCAAGGGAAGCAATTTCCGGGCTCAAGACACCCTTTGTTAAGGATCCAAAGGTAACTGACATCTATCGGACTACCCACTTCCAAGCTTTTTGCTGTACATACCACATGGCAAAATTAAAAGACTCAATCATGCTTTATTACTATACCAGTGACAAAGACTAATGTAATGGCTGTTGATGGTAATGCTAGGGATAGAACAGAGATAGACAGAAATGTTTTGGAAATTTAATGGAAACAAAGAAAAAATTTTGGTATTTTGATTCCAAAACATTTTAAATCACTCAGAAATATAGAATTCATTTTGGTTTTAACCGAAACCAAAAATTTCAGTTGTTTCGATGAAATTTTGATTCTTGGTATCCATCTATGTATGTATTTGTGTACTTATCTCTTGTATTTTTTTTTTTTTTTTGTGTATATGATTTTATGCAATAGGGGGTATTGCCGAGTGAATCAGCTGTAGTGTGGTCTGGGGTGAGCCAAAGCATCCTAAGCAAATGCTGGGAGAAAGCAAGAGAAGCAAAGACAGCAGTTGAGGAAAAGGAAAGAGAGCTTGTAAAGGAGAGAGTCTCAAAAGGAGAAACATGGGTTCCAAAGCATTTTACTGTATCTTACACCAAGGAAAGTGGGTGGGACTGTTTACCAAATCACAAGCTGGTCCCACCAGCTCCAATTGTTGTTCCTTCTTGATCTAATGATTTGTATCACACAGTATTTTTCATGCTTATCTATATCCTTAATTGCTTCTGATTTTTGCTATTTTTTAGTAGTTGAACAAACTCACCTGCAAAACTAGTAAATGAAACTAGCTACTTCTTGAAAAATAAGTAAATGGAGCAACCATAAGATTGCTCTATTATGACTTGAAGATCATGAGTTCGAGTCGTGAAAACAATAGCTATGCTTGCAAGGAAAAGACTACGTATATCTGACACTCTCAGAGCCAATAATAGCAGGAGCCTCGTGCATTGGCTACGCCCAATTGGAAATAGTTAAACCAACCCTTCAAAATAATTGTAAATACTCGAAAATATTGGGCTGCAATTTTTTTTTTTTGAATGAAAACTCTCGACTCATTATACAAGTAAATTATTTGCCCGTACCCGAAGGGTGATTTTCCGGTGAAAAAATTTGAGAAAAATATAATAGAATTGCATGGAAATGAACAAAGAAACATCCCTGTAGGATTTTGTTGCTTAGAAAATGATCAAATAACAATACTCAACAAAAATCAGTACCAATTTTTTCTACGAGTGTAGTGTATATCACATACGACTACATAGCTTCTACTATGGCCATGACCTGACTCATACTCAAGCTATTTTTATGTTGTCCAAATTCTTCTCTCGTAAATCCGATTTGCTTCTCCGATTAAACGATCTTTCTCTGATGGTGGCCAAAAGTGGCGTCCATGACCGTGTCTTGGACGATTTTTGCATACTACACCCTGTCACACTCCTTTGTGATTCCACCCCCATACACCGGTTCGAAAACCGGCTAGGACTAGTAGCCGGTGAGCCCCATATTGGGCTAAGTGCGTGTGGGCTAGGTGAAATACTGGCCCCCACAAAATTAGCGTTAGATCGGCTACTTTTGGCTATGGCAGTGAGCTTTCTTGCTATAGGGGCTAAGTCTAGTGGAGAGACATTGGACTGAAATGTTGAGAATGGTAGCAGGAAATAGATATGGCCGGGCTCGAGTTGGGCGTCGGGCCTGAGAGGCTTGGTGCCTGTGGACAGAAGCTCAGCCTGGGTGATCACAAAATGCTTTGGTGGGTTGCCAGTGACTTCACTGACTGTAACTGGATGTTCAAAATCTTCTATATAACCATTCAAGTGTACCACTCGTATGGTACTGAATGTAGAGGATGCTTTGCAAGAGAAGCAGCAACCCATCTCTCTCTTTCTCTCTGTCTGTGTAAGGTTAATGGTACATATATAAGTACGTGGTCACAACTTGAAGTTCTTTTTTTTTTTTTGTCTCAAGATGAATGGTAGCGTGTAAGGAAAATGGCTGGCCAACTACTTCAGGAGTCGGGACAATTACAAAAAAGTTGCTCTTCTTTCTCTCTCCAAACAAGCGATTGGAGATTAGGTGAAGTCAGAGGCTTCAATGCATCCAACAACCACTGCTACTAACAATCAAGAAACACCTACTGTGATGGATCGATGAGGATCCCATGAATCCATAGAAACGGACTGAAGAGGAGGATGATCACCTCGAAAGGAGTACAAAGAAAATTAAAGAATCACACAAAAGCGAAGAGGATGAAATGCTAGTGGACTCTTTTGCCCATCAGAGGACAAATTCCACAGAAGATCAAATGCTTGAATATTCTCCACCATTAAAGGGGCCACATCGCAATTATAAAGCTGCATTATTGGAAGACAACAATGCTATCTAATTCAAAGAAGGTAATTATGAAGAATCCTCTGAGGAAGGAGATGAGGACCAGTTAAAAACTCACCCAGAACTGGTATCTGCCACAATTGATTACACAGACGAATCCTAACCAAGCATTAATCTGTCACAAAAAAACACTTCAAAGTCCTTTGTATGAAAGACAGAGATACATGGAGTTTACAATGAGATTTTGAAGCAATTGATCCAGATAATGGTTTCTTTTTGTTCAAATTCCACATGAGGGAGGATTGCTACAAAGTTTTCATTGGAGAACCATGGATCATCTTGAACCATTACCTGACTCTGAGCAAATGGGAGCCCAATTTTATCCCAACTAGAGCATCGTAAGTTTCAACGGCTCTATGGCTGAGATTACCGGAATTATCTTTAGAGTATTATGATGAGAAAATCCTCTATCAGATTGCTAAAGCCCTAGGAAAATCAGTTAAGGTGAACACTAAAACAGCAATAGCAGAAAGGGACAAATACGCTAGGATTTGTGTGGAAGAGGGACTTGAAGAAGTGGTTAATCCCCTGTTACAGATTGGGAGAGAGATTATTTAGAGCAACTCCAAAGGGAGTTGTCATTTTGGGGTGCTAAATCACTTATTTGTAATTTTGAATAGTGTTTTAGCATTTTTAAATTATAAATCTGTTTTAATGACAAGATTAAAATTGGGTGTCATTTTAATATTTTTTTATTGTTGTCAAAATATTTTAATATATTTTAACAAGTATTCTCTTAGAGTTGTTTTTAAAAAATATAATTAAACTCATTTGCAACATCTCCTTTTCTCTCTCTAGGATGTCATTTTTTCAACCCTTGACGCCACCCTTATTAGAGTGAGAAATTTTAAATTTAGGATAGTATTTTGGTTGTTATGGGATTGCCACTCCCCATGGAGTTGAATATGAGTGTATTCGCTCTATAGTCTATCGATTTCAGTTGCGGAAGAGTGGGTCACAAAGAATCATTTTGTACTTACTTTGCTGGAAAAACCAACCCTCCCAACCTATTGGAGAAACTACCTCACTGACAACGGTTACTCCCACAATACCTACAGCCTCTGAAAATGCAGAACAGTCATCTGTAAATCCGAACGTTGAACCAAAGGAGACTCACAACCAGGCTGAGGAGGAAGAGTATGGGCCTTGGATCTTAGCCCAACCAAGAAGATGAAGAGCCCAGTTGAATAAGAAAGGTAACGGACCCTTTGGCCCACAAAACCAAAACAGATTCAAAGCCCTGGAAACCCAACCCATTGACTTATCCCAATACAAAACCCAAGATCCAACTGTCAATCGGGTCAATTATCATTCTAAAGGCAAGAAAACTGAACGAACCACCGAGACTGATTTAAGAAGAACGGGGAACAGTCGGTTAGAACCTAATGGATCTAGTCACTAAGAAATATCTCTGACCCCTCCTCCTCCACACAAAAATCCAACGATAGCCAAGGGGTCTCGATCCCTCTCCCAAATCCAACACTTTGTGCTCCGTTCGGTAAGAATGATGGAAAATATGAGAGATACATTTTCTATCATTTAAGGAATGATACAATTTCTTTCCTTTATATTTGATTGGATGAATGAAAAATAAAAATTATCAAATTTTTTTTGTCTAATATTAGAGATGGTAATCGAGTCGTGTAATATTAGATTCATGTGGAGTCATAAAATTATGAGTCTTTTATATTTCTTGTTCGTGTGTTAGATCATTTTCAAATTAATGTCGAGTTATAATCAAATTCGTGTCATAAAATTCATGTCGAGTTCGAATCGTGTGGAATCAAAAATTTTCACCACTATATATATATATATATAAATACATATTTTATCATTATATTTTTTATATGAAATTAATGTACACTTAATATATAGACAATTAAGATACATTTTAGCACAAATAATTAATTTTTCATCTATTTTCCTTTCGATTTTGGAGAAATTGATTTTGGTGAGTTAGAAGAAAAGTTAATCCATCTACTTTTCCATTATTCCTATCTATATTCCTTCCTTATCAAACATGATATTTTATTTATTCCTCCAATTTTTCATCATTCTAATTTTCTACCCATTTATTTTTTCATCGTACCCATTTATTTTTTTATTTTTTCATCGTACCCATTTATTTTTTCATCGTACCAAACTGACCATTGGGATCCTCCATGAGAAGCTCCAAAGATCGGTCAATCTTCCTCACAGCTCCATTCCATTAACCTTAAATCATCCTATCCCTTCTGAACATTTGAATCACCCTCACCATCAAAACCTTGACCTAAATACTCACCCTAGTTCACTAAAGAACCCAAAGACTCCAGATCCCTATGGACGAGAACCCCCTGAGATTTTACAACCTGGATTTGATCCCTATGGATCTTCTGTTCAAAGTGAGAATTGTGAGCAAATAGCTTGGGTCTACCAACTGAACGATCAAGGAAATTTCTCTACAGATACAACCATACACAATAGTGAACATCATAGACAGACTTACAGTAGTGACAGTGAAGATTTCTCTACATATACAACCATATACAATAGTGACCATCATAGACAAACTTACAGTAGTGACAGTGACACTACTAGTTCATTTTAAAGAGAGAAGGAACCAAATAAGGAACATCTTGGGCCTTAAGTGAAGTCTCCCAACTCCCCTTTCTTTATATGACACACTCCATGAAGATTTTATGTTGGAATTGCAAAGGAGAAGGCAACGAAAGATTCCAAAAAGCTTTTGGATATATTTACAGAGCACATAACCCTGAGGTGGTAGTGCTAATGGAAACTAAAGTCCCAAGTTCTCAACTGAAATTTTTTTTCTCACAATTTGGGCTTACGATTTCGGAGAAAATTGAACTAGAGGGAAGAGCCCGTGGTATCTAGCTACTTTGGGATCCCACAGCTGTGACAGGCTGTATTCACCAATCCACTTCCCAAGTCATCCATGCCCATATTACTCGTATAGATTTTGATGAATGGCTCTTCTCAGCTATCTATGCCAGTCCCAACCCCTCAAATTGAGAATAGCTCTGGGACAATCTAAGTCTCATAGGTGATAACTACTCCCATGGTTTTATGGCTACTAGAGATCTCAACAATTTCTCTAGTCGGTCAAAAAGAAGAGAGAAACACAGATTATAGTAGCAGAACCAAAAAATTCAGAGAAAGGATTAATAATGTGGGCTCATTGATCTTGGGTGTAGTGGTCCAAGGCTCACATAGAATAACAAGTGCAAAGGCTTGGCAAATACAAAAATCAGACTTGACAAAGCTCGGACAAATGCACAATGGACTACTCCGTTCCCAAAAACAAGCGTTCAAAATCTTCCTAGAAAATACTCCGACCTTATTTATCTTATAGGTAATACTAGGAATCAATTAGTTAGTAGACCTTTTAGAAAGGAAATTGTTTGGTTAACTAGACCTGATTTTAAAAATGTCATAATGGAATCATGGAACTAATGTGATAATTCCTTAATTCAAGTAACATCCAAATTTGCCAAAAAATCAAAGGAGTGGAATTCAACCACCTTTGGAAACATTTTCCGAAGGAAATGTAGAGTCCTAGCTAGATTGGAGGGTTTACAGGAATCTGAAGAGATAAAATACTCTCAAAATCTAGAAAGATTAGAGAAACAACTTCTCATTGAATACCACCAAATTCTAGAACAAGAGGAAATCCTCTGGCACCAGAAATCAAGATCCAAATGGATCAAACTGGGAGAAAAAAAATGCAAAATACTTTCATGTTTCCACAATTGTTAGGAGAGAGAAAAACATACCCCAAAGTCTAAAAAATGCACAAGGTCTTTGGATAACAGAGAAATTTGAAATTTAGAAGATAATTCAATATTATTTTGAAGAGTTATTTGGTACTGAAAATTAAAGTGAGTTTGAGGGCAATAACACAAGTTAAATACTATAGATAATCAAATCCTTCAAGTCCCTATCATAGATTATGAGTTAAGAAAGCTACATTTACTATCAAGGCCCATAATGCCTCGGGACCATATGGCCTCCAGGGCCGGGCCTTTTCCACCAAAAGTATCTGGATATTGTTGGAGAGTCAGTTTTTAATCAAATTAAAGATTTTTTTAATATAAGGAAGTGTCCAAAGGAACTTAATAAGACCCGGATAACATTAATCCCCAAACTTGACAACCCTGTGATGGCCTCCCAATTTAGGCCAATAAGTCTCTATAATGTGAGCTTGAAAATCCTTACCAAGCTCCTAGTAGCCACACTTAGACTATTTCTGGACAAACTGGTTAGTCCCAACCAAAGCAGCTTCATCCCAGAGAAGCAGACTATTGATAATATCATCATCACCCAAGAAATTATCCATGCAACAAAAAGGAAAAAAGGGAAAGTGGGGGAACATGGTGATCAAAATCGACCTTGAAAAATCGTATGACAGAATTAATTGGTCTTTCTTGCATTAAACACTGATCAAATATAATTTTCCACAATCTTGGATTGAGATTATTATGAGTTGTGTACAGAATCATCATTATCCATACAATGGAATTGTGAACCCCTTAACCCTCTCACTCTTAAAAGAGGACTTAGGCAAGGTGACACACTGTTACCTTACCTTTTTACTCTATATATGGAAAAATTAGGACAAATGTTTAACAAAAAAATGGAAGAGGGATGCTGGAAATACATTAAAGCATCTAGGAATGGTCCTTCTATCACCTATCTCCTTTTTGCTGATGATATCATTCTTTTCTCTAGGGCAACAAAAAATGATTGTGATATGATTAAGGAAGTGCTTCAAAATTTCTGTAACATCTCAAGCTAGAAAGTAAACCTTGTCAAATCTAGAGTATACTTTTCTCCTAATATTAGTAGAAGCAAGGTCAATCACCTAACCATAAGAAGTGGACTTTCCAAAACTGAGGATCTAGGAATTCCTATTCTTCACAAAACAACCAATAAAGATACCTATAACTTCCTGGTGGAAAAAATCCAAGCCAAGCTTAGTGGATGGAAGGCTAAATATCCAACCATCGCAGGAAGAGCCACTTTAATTCTGGCAGTTACCTCCACCTATCCATATTACACCATGCAAACCACCTAGTTGCCTCAGTGCACCTGTGAGAAATGTTAGAATCAATAGGAACCTCCTATGGGGGGATACAGAGGAAAAAAAAGAAAGTTCATCTTATAAATTAGGACACAATCTATAAGCCAAAAGAGGAAGGAGACCTTGGGTTAAGAAATACTAGAGAAAATAATCAAGCTACACTGGCTAAGTTGGGTTGGAAAATCAAAGATAATCATGATGCACTGTGGGTTAAAGTAGTCAAGGAAAAATACATAAATAGTACCTCACATGACTGGAGATAGAAAACAAATACTTCTCCAATTTGGAGAGCCATCTTGAAAACAAAGCAAATTGTTAATGAAGGAATAAAATGCCTTACTGGAAATGGTCATAACATCTCCTTTTGGGCTGATTGGTGGTGTGGAGAATCCCCTCTTGCTAATAGATTGCAGATTCTAGACTCAGCTGCCTACGACAGTCTAGTGGCAGATTTCATCGATCCCTCAGGTAACTGGAACTTGAGTAATACATATATGCTTCTTCCCCCTAACATTATCTTTGATATCCTAACCACTGACCATTCCAAATAATAATGATTTCAGAGATACCCCATGTTGGGGTCTTGTTAACAATGGTAAGTTGTCTATAAGGACAACCTACAGTTGATTTTTCAAATCAGATGAGGATAATAATTCTGTCTCGAGATAGGAATGGATTTGGTCCATGATAATTCCATAGAAACTCAAATTTTTCCTCTAGCTTGTTTAGAGTGACAGAATGCTCTCCAACCTTCTCAGAGCTACCAGAAACATGACCAGCGATGCAACTTGTGAGAGATGCAACATCCATATGGAATCAACCTTTCACATACTTAGGGACTGCTCGAAAGCTCAAGCAGTCTGGAAAGCTCTCTTAGGAAACTCAAATAGCTCTGTTAACCAGACTTCTGAGTTATAAAAGTGGCTCTGGGAAAATCAAAGAATACAAAGGAAGAAAAGTTGGAGAGAAGTGGAGTGGCATGTAGTGTTCACCTCTCTTATCTAGCATATCTGGACAGATAGGAAGGAGGAGTGTATTGAAAATTCACATAACCCCCCATACCTAGTTGCTAAAAATACATGGCAGCTGGATCTTGAAATCAAGCTGGCCTTCTAGGAAAATTTACATTTTCAAGACCATAACTTTGAAAAACTTATGGAATGGTATTTTCCTCGTATAGAGTGGTTGAGGCTGAATGTGGATGGATGTTCTAAAGGAAACCCAAGACCTGCAGTAGTTGGAGGCATTGTTAGAAATGATCAAGGAATTTGGCAAATGGGATTCTATGGAAGATTGCCCAATTGTTCAAGTGCTCAAGAGTAATTATGGGCCATCTTCAAAGCCCTTCAACTCATCCAAACTCAGAACCTGAAGAATGTTATCTTGGAGACTGACTCTCTGGATGCCCATAGACTCTTGACCTCAAGATTGGAAGAAACTCATCCACAAAGAGGGATCATTGCCAATTGCAAGAAATTGTTGATCTTGCTCAACACACTCATCCTTCATACTCTGAGAGAAGGAAAATTTTGTGCTGATAAACTCGCTAATATGGGTGTTCAGCATAATGAACAAATGGTGCTACTCATCTTCCCACCCTGCTTAATGAGAGAGTATTTGAGAAACGATAGTGCTAGTATCTCTTATGTTAGAGGTTTTTGTTAACTAGTTTTGAACTTTACCAATGTAATGTAAAAAAAAATTACAAAAAAGTCTTTGAGCTTTTGACAGACGGACCTGAAATACAAGGTTTGAAAAAGTCCTGGGCGCAAGGATTGGGAGTTAGAGATGGAATGGTAGGGCTATGTCCATTTTTTCTTAAATAAATTATATTTTGTACCCTAACACTATGGTCTCGATCTTTTTTTACTTACACTATCTTCTATTGAGTTTTTCATATATCTCCTATTAGATTTTGGATTGCCTTAAAATCAAGGGTAAATTATATTACATTCATCTCTTTCGAAGTTTGATCAAATAATAATTAGACTCTTTTATATATAGAAAATAACACTAACCTCTCTTCGACGTTGTTGTCGGTAACAAATTCCCCCCCCCCCCAACCCATTATTACTCGATTAGAAAACTTTTCCAAATTTGATGATATAAGCAACTTATATTTTTAAAATGCCAACATTACCCTTCTACATCCCACGTGCATTTGAATTTGTTGCCAAACAAAACTCATGCATGTTACAAATAACATACACTTGTTTCCAAACAAAATACAACTGTTTATACTCTTTATCTCTCTTAGTAGCCTCCATCCACTCTTCTTTAATCTTCACCACCACGTATTGCCCTTTTTTTTTGTCTCTCCCCTACTTTGTCACCACTGTCATCCCTGAATACTTCAATGACCAAGGACCACCAAAAATCGACCATTACAACATCGAAACACAAAAAAAATCACTAAGCCTGAACCACTTTAACAACCACAACAACTATTTGTTCTTTGCATCCTTAACAGCCACAAACAACAATTACCGTAACTCAAAAAAAAAAAATTACAAAAATTATCTCAGCCATTTTAACTACAAAAAAGTGCAAAATCAAGAGCATTTCGACATAAAATACAATAAATAAATTATTAAAAATTCAATTCAATGCACCCAACGAAACTATGGCTCGTTTTGATCAGGATTGGGGTTGGGTGAGAGAGTAAGTGGTTTAATATGAGATGTGGCACTATATGATTGGATGATATAAAAATCAACTACAATAGAAAATGATTTCATATTGAGGGCATTATAATCATTTTACTATTTCTGTTAGAAAAAGAAAACGAAAGTTAATGATAAAGGAAGTCAATGTTATTTTCCATACATGAGGGGATCTAATTATTATTTGGCCAAACTTTAGAGGAGGTGAATATAATGTATCCAAAGATCAGACATTTTGAACAAAAAGTGCGTTGTGTCATTGTATTTTGAAACAAAGTGATATAATTTTAAAAGAAACAAATTGAGGGAGAGAGAGGCCTTAAAAAAAAAATTCCCTCCATACATTTTGAAGTCTGAAACTAGAGGTAATGTGACGCAAATAATTGTAATTGAAGATGTAATTTGATAAAAGTGACACTTGAGGCGATAATTGGGACTGAGGTATAGTTGAGGCGGTCAATATACAATTTACTCGCTAATGCTTCTAATTCAAATGATTATTCTAATTGGTAATGACCCTACTTCTAATTGCAAGTTTTTTTTTATGTAATTGTACCTTTAATTCACTTGAATCATTCTTGAAAGCCTACTTATTATAATGATTTCTAGTGCTTTATAAAAATCTAAATAGATTAGCTAACTTTAAATTCAGGGCAGAGTTGGAACCAGTACATCATCAAGTAAAACACAAAGTTGTGAAGACCTTGACGTTCAAAATGAACATTTTGCACTGAAAATGGCATTAGGTAACAAACAAAGTGTCACTCAATCAGTGATAGAATTTTGGCGGTGAATAGTTTCAATTAGCTGTGAAAAATAAACATTATTGAAAAATATTTTTAAAATATAATACAAATAGAAAAATAATCTAAATTTTGATTCTAAAACACATCAAAATATTTTTGAATATGGAAATTTCGTTTTTTCTATCATTTTTGGTTAAAACGAAAGCAATTTTGATCCTTAAACTCGGATTAATATTACAATAACTGGGGAAAATGTCCACTTATGTGCCATAAGGCATATGAGAAGTACAAGCTTATCATGTAATTTAATGTTGAAGTTCATGTCCCCCGTTGCAACATCTAGATTAGATCTGATTTAGTTAGGCCTAAACGCTGGTCGTCGCTGGTGGGTCACAGGCTGGCCTAACGAGTCATGGACTGGCCTAGTAGTATAATGCAAGGCGGTATTATAATCGGTGCGTGGAAATGAAATTCAACATGAAAAACATATATCATGTTCCCTGTTGCAATACCTAGGTTAGATCTGATTTATGTAGTGGTCGATGAGTCGTTGGTGGGTCACAGGATGGCCCAATAGTCCGTCCGCCTATAGAGTCATGACCTAGTATAATGCATGGCGGGGCCATAATCAGCTCGTTGGGAATAAAATTGAATATGAAAAAATATATATCAATAGACCTTATCAACACTTTAAATCATAATAATCAAAACCAGATGTCTTGACACACACCACGCCCACGGCATCATGTGGGTCTTGGGCCTAATGATAAACTGAAGTGTCTCGGACCTGTATTGCATAACATTGTAAGTTTTAGATGAAACTTTAACGATTTTAAAACTCATTCCATAGTACATAGCTTCCGCCTACTATTACCATGGCTATTACCCTACTCATACTCAAAGCTATTTCATGTTGTCCGAATTCTTCTCTTGTAGATCCGATTCACTTCTCCGATTAAACGATCTTTCTCTGATCGTGGCCAAAAGTGGCTTCCATGACCGTGACTTGGACGACTTTTGCAAACCATACCCTGTCACACCCCATTCTGGTTCCACCCCCTTACACTGGTCTGAAAACCGGCTAGGACTACTAGCCGGTGAGCCCCATATCGGGCTCAGTCCGTGCGGGCTAGACGAAATGTTGACCCGCGCAGAATTAGTGTTGGACCGGCTACTTTTGGCTATGGCAGTGAGCTTTCTTGCTAGAGGGGCCAATTCCATGGGAGAGACGTTGGACTGAAATGTTGAGTACGGTAGCAGGAAGTAGATATGGCCGGGCTCGAGTATGGCGTCGGGTCTGAGAGGCTTGGTGCCTGTGGACAGAAGCTCAGCCTGGGTGATCACAAAATGCTTTGGTGGCTTACCAGTGACTTCACTGACTGTAACTGGATGTTCGAAGTCTTCTACATAACCATTCAAGTGTACCACTCGTATAGTATTGAATGCAGAGGATGATTTGCAGGACCAACAGCAACCCATTTCTCTCTTTCACCTTTTTCACCCCTCTGTGATGCTAGGAATTTGAGGGAACTAGTTTTATATGCAAGTGCATGACCCACATGATTGAATTTGTTCCTTGTCTTAAAGCTGAGTGGTAGCTTGAAAGGAAAATGGCTGGCCAACTACTTCATGACTTGGGAAAATTACACTTCCACCCCTCAACTATGGCAAGAATCATAATTTGTTCCTTCAATTATTCAATTTTCACATTGTGCCTCAACTTTTTGAATTGATTTCATATTGCACCATACCAAAGCAAAAGGTTTGTCATGTTTTGGATGAAAGATATCTGGATGTGTAGTAAAATGGACAAGTTCAACACCACCAACCGAGGCAATGTGGAATCCGCAGTTATAATTGGATGTATAATATAAGAAACATGATAATTGAGAAGACTATGTAAAATCATGGAAGTACGATATGAGAAAATTAATATTCAAGGAGTAATGTGAGACAGAGGAAACATTCAAGGTAAAATCAAAGAGTAATTTATCCTTCGGACTATTTCTAAAAAGTTTTTGAGCCCCCCTTCCTTCCTTTTTCCTTTTCTGTCTTTTTGTTATGGAAGTGGAACCCGAGCATTTACTTGCGGTGGACCTGAATGATCAATTTTGAAACGAATTCGAGACGTAAGGACTGGGGGTTGGAGATGGACGCAGTAGTGAAGTTTTGTCAATCGAGGGAAGGACTCAGTCAAGATTTCAATTTATGAGGAACATTTAAGAAAATAAAAAGAAATTTGGGAGATAAACTAGTTAAAATTTTGAGAAAAATTTCATAAATTCTACATCAAATTAAAGGGCTTTTCTTCGGTATTTGAAGGGTAAGGTTTTTCACGAGGTTGATCTTGAGCTGCCATCTCAAGAATGGATATCTTCTTTTATGAGAATATTTTTGTGTGTAGAAGATCTCAATTTTAGGATAATTTGTTGCACAAATTTCCTTAAGAAACAATGTCATAGGCATGCAATGGACTCCTCAGTCTCCCAATATATGAGATTAGAATCAATAATTGACGATGATCCTAGATGAACACTTGAGGAGGCGCAACTCGGAAAAAAGTAGGAGTGTGAGATTAGGATTAGGCACAAGGGCTCTTGGCCGATGACTCATAAAGTGTGGTAAAAAAATGGTATTTGTAAGGGGTAGAACCCTCCACTCAGGATTTCGGCTTGACCTGGGTTAACCCACGCGGGCGACCCCCCAGTAGCCTTTACCTCTCTTCGCCAATAGGACCCTTTCCTAAGGCAATCCCACATCGGAAGAGAGTCGTCTTCCCCCCTCGCATATAAGCCCTTGCACTCAAAGGAGGAGGTACCCACTAGGCACCTGATCAGGTCGCTAGTGGGTACCTCCTCCTTTGAGTGCAAGGGCTTATATGCGAGGGGGGAAGACGACTCTCTTCCGATGTGGGATTGCCTTAGGAAAGGGTCCTATTGGCGAAGAGAGGTAAAGGCTACTGGGGGGTCGTCCGCGTGGGTTAACCCAGGTCAAGCCGAAATCCTGAGTGGAGGGTTCTACCCCTTACAAAAAGGTCCACTCAGGATTTCGGCTTGACCTGGGTTAACCCACGCGGGCGACCCCCCAGTAGCCTTTACCCCTCAGTGCCCGCAGGAGCTTCGTCCCACATCGACTGAGAGTCGCCTCCCCCCTCACATATAAGCCCTTGCACTCAAAGGAGGAGGTACCCACTAGGCACCTGATCAGGTCGCTAGTGGGTACCTCCTCCTTTGAGTGCAAGGGCTTATATGCGAGGGGGGGAGACGACTCTCAGTCGATGTGGGACGAAGCTCCTGCGGGCACTGAGGGGTAAAGGCTACTGGGGGGTCGCCCGCGTGGGTTAACCCAGGTCAAGCCGAAATCCTGAGTGGAGGGTTCTACCCCTTACAGTATTTGAAAGAGCGGATTCTAAAAATGAATGGTCGGATGCGGTACTTGATTTTGCACTCTTTTTATCATCACCTAAATAAAAATTTAGTAAAAAATCTGAAAAATATAACATTATTGTCAATAAATTTACATGCGGATTGGATTGCTATCAACGACTAAGTCATGAGTATGAGTACAAAGTTCGGAAGACCATTAGCTTGAAAAGGAGCGCTTTGCCATCAGAATGGGTTAGGTAACCAAAAAATAAGAAAGAAAGGCTAATCAACACGACTTTCCTTCCTTTTTCCCACGACGCTGAAAGGTAATTGTTTTTCCTCGTATGACTCAGTCACGTAAGTAAATTTTTTTCGGTGCATAATTTTTTTATTAGTTATATAAAATAAAAATGATTTGAGAATATTTTAAACAATATTATGACAGTAGAATAGAAACCAAGAGAAAAATTAAAATTTTGATTTTGATTTTGATTTTGATTTTGAAGGAAATTTGATTTTCCATCACTTATTTGTTACTATTTCAGCCATACCCGAAACATTTTGGTCGTTTCCATAGAAAAGAAATGATATTCTTATCTTCATGTTACAAAAAAGGTAGAAAACATGTATTTATGTGTTATAAGACATATGAGTTGTACACTTATCGGGTAATTTTAGACATTTACAGAATGGAACACTCAATTTTTTTTATTATAAGGTATTTAGATTTGCATCGATCATTTTTTCGAGTTCAGCACTCTGACCAAATTAAAATATGTCGTCATAGAGACAAAGGTGACTTACCCAACGATTTTGGTATTGAAGCTCATGCCGAATATTGCAATATCTAGAGGTATATCTGGTGTCAATGAGGCTCGATTTGAGGCCTGTGGTCTAGGGGTTGGCCCGATGGTCAGGAATCCTAGTGGGTAATGGACTAGCCCAACCTAACAAATGGCAGCCGGACAGATAGGTTTGTGGGTCCTGTTGGTCCATCTTGACCGGAAATTAGTCCAACCTACTCCACCGTGAAGGCACCTCACGGCCCGGGCGAAGCTACGTAGGGCCTGTTTGGTTGTTTTTCTAGGAAAAGTTTAAATTGAGATCCAACATTCAATCTCGTCTATATTCATGTTTAATATGTGTACGGATATATTACTATTATAATAATATATTTATATAAAAATAACTATTATATCCCTTAACCAATCTAATCCAAACTCACGTAAATAGGGTTATATGTAAATAGGGTTATATGAGGAGCGTTTGGATAACCGGCAAGGATAGGACTTTTTGTTTCCTACTTAATTGGATGGGTTATGTTTGCTATCCAATCCAACCCATTGTTTGGCAAGGAACAATTCAATTTCATGGGACTCACAGACTTTGATATTTATTTTTGTAGATATTTACCATTTTACCCATTGACATATCCAATCCAATGTAATCTTTTGTTTGAATTTCTCACTTATCCTACAAACATCTAAAATTTACTACATGATATTTATACATAAAAAAATTCGTCAATAATTTCATTGTGTTGGTTTAATGGTTTACACTTGAAACTAAAAAACATAATATTTATCAGCAAATTGAGCTTAATTCGTAAACTACATAGTAGATGGTTTCAATTTACAATATTTATTTTTTGTTGGTTTTGTTATGAACAAAGTTTTCCATTGCTTAACACACCCATCAAAGCATTAACCACCATAAAACACAAGCTTTACCAGTTTGGTGAAACCCAACAACCACATAACAAATCCCACCCACAACAAAACTTTTAACTTTGCTGAATAACCACATAACAAAACCCAACAACCAGTTTGGTGAACATTGAAAGCTTCTAACTTTCAATGTTCACATTCATGCCAATGGAACCGAAACGGCTTCCCACAAGCCTTCCACATCAAATGGTAAATCACCAGCTCTCTCATCAGTGAAGTTGGTTTGGCTTTCTCATCAGTGAGCCAGATCTCTTCATAGTTTGGTCCAGAGAGGGAGAAAGATAGATATATATAGAGAGTGAGAGAGAGAGAGACCCAGATGCTTACCTCCCAGAAGCTCCCAACTGCTTCTCGTTCGTCTTCTTTGTCACCTTGACAGAGCTCTCTACCCAGAAACTCGAATGCCACGATCATCGTCGCCTCTATGCAACAGAACCCTTGGACGAGCTCAGCTCTTGGGTGACAGGAGAAAGAGAGGGTTGAGTGGGTGGAGAAAGAGACAAGAGGGGCAAATATGTCTATGGGTGGGGTTATCCTGTTGGCTGGGTTTGTAACCCATGGGGGGTGGGGTGGGTTAAGTTTATCCGATATAGGAGGGTTAATGGGCACTGCAGTAACTGGGTCAAAGATTGATCCGAAAGTTTAATCCAATCTCAAAAATGCTTTACAAACAAAAGATTACTGGACCCGTTGCACTATTAGCCTATCCATATTGGTGTTAATCCATTTTAATCTCCTACTCAAACACATCCATGAGATATATGGGTTATATGGGGGTATAAATATCATTTTGTATGCTCAACTCTTTAACCTCCACATGAAACCCACCCCACGGGTCTTATGAAATTTATGAACTTGAGTTTAAATTGCGAGCCTAAAGTGGGTTATCATGCCCCAAATTTTCACAAACCCGAAGAATGAGTGTAAAGGAAGAAGAAAAGTAAATAAAAGATTTTTAGGTTGGATAAATTAGTTTTTCATTCATTTCTCATGTTTTCCAAAATATTTCAAACCACTTTTCTTTCATTTTTAGCCTATTTCTTCAAGGTTTCTAAACCCCCCCTTTTGACATTCTTTCCACCTATTTAAAAGGTGTTTTACACACTTAACAAGTCTTTTAATTTTTCATAAAATTTCGACATAACCTCTTTTGTTTTCAAGCCTTTTTCCTACTTAATATTTACAATATTTCTTATGTATTATTATATTACAACTCACCCTCACTCGGTGGCCACAATCTGTGGAAATTAAATATACATCATTTATTTTTAACATACACATATAATACTCATTAGATAAAGATATCTTACATATCAATTGGGTTTACACCCTTACACTTTAAAATGACTCAAGGTCTAAATTCATTACTTTTTCAAATTGAAATACAAGTTATTGGGTCTTATGCCCATACATACAAAATATGTCCAAATGTCAAATATCCATTCAAGTTCATTTTCCCTCTTTCCTTTAAGACTTTCTCAAGTCTCAAGTATCGGGAGCCTCATCTGTAATATGATATCCCACGAATGGGTCAGCTCAACTACTGGTATGACAAAATGTTAATATTAGGAACAAATTTAAGACATTTCATGTGCAAGTGTACATTTTTAAAAGTTATAACCCCGTGATCTCTCAATGCTATGCAATGTCAATATGCATGACACACCCATGCAACTCTATGTCACCCATGTCTCGCTTCACGGTTCGCCCCCGTCAGCCCGCGAGTACTGTCATTGGCCAAATTTTAGATTTTTCACCACAGGATTTACACCCTCATAATGCATAGCACTAAGTACTCAACTCACACTATGTTCCAAAGATTCATATATGCTAAGATGCCTTGATTTTTCTTCAATGTGAATTCTATGAAATATTTCATCAAACACCATATCTACATGGATGTGAAACATTATTCAATGAATTGAACATATTATCAAACTTCATATTCATTACTTTCACAATTTCTCAAAGAAACTACAAATACACAAACTACCAACTCACGTAATAAATCATAACTCTCAAACCACAAGAGTTTCTCTACATGAACATAAGGTAGAATATAATAATCTAACACATAAGCAATATACACTTTTACCATAGTAACAAATTGTCAAGAAATTCAAAAAAACACAAAAGTACTTAAACAACTAATTCTAAGTTTTCAAAGCAACTACCAACTAAATGATTTTCTTACATCAAGTAAATACCTAAATCATTTAATTAACACATAGAAAGATAAGAAAACTTAAATCTATTCCTAACTTAGCAAAACATCATACCTAAAATGATTTTTCTCAAATCAAGAGAGTTGTGTTCGCTTTATAGCCGAACTAATTGGTGAGAATATAACCCTTGTTGAGAGGAACAACTTCTTAGAAGAAAATCTTGCAAGAATTTTAGTCTAGGAATGAGTTTTTGTGGTTTGAAACTTGAAGAACCTAAGATTTTTTCTTCACTTTTCCTCTTGAACGTGTATTGCTCTATCTCCAGGAAAAATACTGATATTTTTTACACTAAGGGGCTGTAATTACAGTGGAGGGTAAATGTGTAAAATGATTATTTTGCCCTTGATGAATTCGGGACCCCATTACACTACAACTCATCTCGAAACGTCTCAATTCGACATTTTATTTTAACCAAAATTTTTTAAATTATTTTAAATAATTTTTTTTTAAAAAATAGATTTTCACTAGTAGCGGGTTCCACCTAGGCTGCTTGGAATATTATTTTTATCCAATTTTTGAAACTATTTCTGTTTAAGCTCAAATTCGCATAGTAGGTGTACTTTAACATTCTAAACATGTTTCTCTTCTATGACATACTCAAATTATTCTCTTAAACATGACTTATATTTTAATGATGCATATGTAATATCCTATCAACAAATGGTGCATGAATAGTACCTTATTGGCAAAACTGAAAAATTTATCTTCACTTTTTCAGATCTCGTTGAGTTTGGTAACCTAGGCTAAAAATTTAGTTGTCAAACATGAATTTGCTAGTTTTTGTGGACTTTTATTCCCCAACCCATCTTCCAAATTCCCCTTATCCCAAATACCAAACAGGCTCATAAGGTTAGGAGATAAGGGTGTCGATTTTGTCACTTTCCATTATGTTATTTTTGTGTCATTTTATTATTTTTGGTATGTATCGTATTTGTGTTAATATTCATGTCAATAAAATTTTATTTAATTCTACAATAACTTACATAATACTATTATTCATAACTTGTGCTTGAAAAAACGATGAAATATAAGATTCGAATGTTTAAAAAATTGATTTCATTATATCAAATAATTTTTTTTATTATTTTGTTTCTTTTATTATATCATTTAAAATTAATTTTTACATATTATTTTTTAAAAATAGCGTTAAAGTTTTCTCAAAATGCATATCATGACAAAACCTTTTTTTTTAACATGTTTATATTATCGTACATGGATAATGTATGAAAAAAATTTATGTTAAATTATAAATTAATAAAATATTAAATGATAGAACATGTGATAAAATTGAGTAATGTGATATTTTTTGGAGGAAAAATATATAAGAATAATGCTATTCAAAACAAAAAATTTGATCTCATTGGCTGACCTGATGATATAGCTTCATTGAAATCATTGGATGAATAACAATTTCTAATATTTGATGGAGCTCATAGTCAATCCAAATGTCATAATAAGTCAAATTTTTATTTTCAAATATATAAAGGATAAAAAATTCAATTTATTGACTAACTTATTAGATAGATTTAAAAATTTAAAAATTATAAAATATATATTATTTATTTATAATATTCATTAAATATATATATTTTTTTATCTATAATACCCGTTAATATATTATTCGTGTTTAACTTTATTTTTGTGTTTTGTATCATGTCAATTTCATATTAATTTTAACCCCAAAAAAAATTTCATATTAATGAATAAAATTGACACCCAAGAGGCACCTATAATAAAAAAAAGTAATAATTTTGAGGAACTTAGCCGGTTGACTTTTGAATTGGTTTTGAATACAGTGTAAAATCAACACAATTTTATCTATGGCTATAAGAAATTTATTTCTTATAAATACTTTAATTTTAATATAGATAACCTCTTTTTGAGTGGGACAGATTATTCGAGGCACGCGTAAACGGATTTGGACACTCCCTGCTGTTGAAACGACCAAAAAAAAAAAAAAAAGATGGCACTCGAGTTGGACGACGTCGTTGCCTAGAAAATTTCTGGCTTCTGGGCTTTTGCGTGAAACGTCGCCGTTGCAGGGGAGCCGGACCCAACGGTGTCGGCCTTTAACTAAACTAGCCAAGTTAAGCCAGAATTTTTCAAAACGCTTAACTAGCGACTAACCTTCAAACTGTCTTTGCTTCAAGCGTTCTCTTCCTCTCTCTATAAAATTCGCAGTAATGATTATGTCTAAGCTCTTCAACACCAAACGATTCTCCACTCTATCTTGTTCTTCTTCTCCTTGTCATCGGAAGAAAACCAAAACTCGTGCACTCTCAGCTCTCCTAAAAAGTGGCTTCACTCCAACCCTGAAACACTGCAACCAATTCCTTCTCTTTCTCTCTCAAAACCATAAATTCAAATCAGTTATTCTCTTATTCTCTCAAATGAACGCATACCAAATCATGGGAGACTCTTCTACACATTTGCTTTTTACAAGGGCTCTTCTCAAAGAGCATAAATATGAAGAAGCAGCTCAATTCATGAAGACCCGGATGGCAAAAACTTCTGTTTGTCGACAAAATCACATCTGGGATTCTCTAATTCAAGGCCTTTGTATCGATGTAAAAGATCCCGAAAAGGCGCTTTCTGTGTTGAAAGATTGTTTGAGGGTTGATGGTATATTGCCTTCTTCTTTTACTTTTTGTTCTTTGATTCATTGTTTGAGTTCTATGGGAATGATGGATAGGACAATCGAAGTGTTAGAGTTGATGACTGATGAGAAAATTCAATACCCTTTTGATAATTTTGTTACCAGTTCAGTAATTTCTGGGTTCGTTAAGATTGGAAAACCTGAAGTTGCAATTGGGTTTTATGAGAATGCTGAAAAGGCAGGTGGTCTAAGGCCTAATATCGTGACTGGTACTGCTCTTGTTAGTGCTTATTGTAGGTTGGGTAGAATTGAGGAGGCCCGTGATTTGGTTTCTATGATGGAAAATGAAGGAGTTGCATTTGATGTTGTGTTTTATAGTAATTGGATGTATGAGTATTTTAGGGAAGGATTCCTTGTGATGGCATTTCAAAAATACAAAGAAATGGGGGAAAGAAAAATTGACTTGGATACTATTAGCTATACTATACTTATAGATGGGTTTTCAAAGGAAGGAAATGTGGAAAAAACAGTTGGCTTTTTAAACAAGATGAGAAAGGATGGATTGAAACCCAATTTGGTTACTTATACCGCAGTCATGTTGGGATTCTGCAAGAAAGGGAAAATTGAGGAGGCAATCACAGTGCTCAAGACTGTTGAAAATTTAGGAATTGAATTGGATGAATTCGCCTATGCAACTTTGATTGATGGCATTTGCAGGAAGGGCAATTTTCCTATTGTTTTTCAACTGCTTGCGGAAATGGAGAAGAAGGGTATCAAACCTAGTATTGTAACGTATAACACTGTGATTAAAGGATTGTGCAAAGCTGGGAGGACATCTGAGGCAAATGAGATCTCAAAGGGCATAGTAGGAGATGTTGTCACATATGGTACATTGTTAACTGGGTACATTGAAGAAGAGAATGTCACTGGGATGCTGGAAATAAAGAAAAGACTGGAAGCAGATGGAGTTTGTTTGGATGTGGTTATGTGTAACATTCTTATTAAAGCACTATTTATGGTGGGGTCATTTGAGGATGCTCTTGCAATTTATAAGGGAATGCCTGACATGGACTTGGCTGCAGATTCTGTTACTTACTGTACAATGATTGATGGGTACTGTAAAGCAGGTAGAATTGATGAGGCACTTGAGAAATTTGACGAGTTTCGAAAGGCATCAATCTACTCAGTTGCATGTTACAATTGTATTCTTCATGGCCTATGCAAGAAGCGTATGGTAGGTATGGCCATTGAGGTGTTTCTGGAACTCAATGAGAGAGGTTTGCCTGTGGATGTGGACATATATATGATGTTGATCAAAGCAATCTTTGAAGAAAAAGGGGCAGAAGGAGTTCTGCATTTAGTTCATAGAATTGAAAATCTGGGATATGATATATTTGATACTTTATGTGACAGTGCTATTTCTTTCCTATGCAAGAGAGGTTTTCCTGAGGCTGCCAGTGATGTTTACATGGTATTGAGGAGGAAAGGCTCTGTCGTGACGGGCAGGTCTTACTATTCACTCTTGGAAGCACTTGTTCATGATAGCAAGAATGGATTGACTCAACCCATTTTGGGTAGCTTTGTAAAGAAGTATGGGCCATTTGAATCTAGAGTAAGAGAGATACTAGTATATTGCCTATGTATGGACAATGTGAATAAAGCTCTTAGATTTCTCACAAAGATGAAGGAGAACATGTGCAATGTAGCTTTTCCTGTAACTGTTATTGAGAAACTCACGAAGAATGGTAGAGTTTTGGATGCATATGAACTTGTCATGGGAGCAAACGGTCATCTGCCTCCTATGGATGTAGTTGATTACTCAATAGTGGTTGACAGCCTTTGCAAATCTGGACACTTCCATAAGGCTTTAGATGTATGTGATTTTGCAAGGAGAACAGGTGTCATGTTGAACATTGTCACCTACAACTCGGTTATAAATGGATTGTGTCGCCAAGGGTGTCTTGTTGAAGCACTTAGGTTGTTTGATTCATTAGAGAAGATCAATACGGTTCCCTCAGAAATCACATATGCTACACTTATTGACACTTTGTCCAAAGGAGGTTTCTTGCTGGATGCCAGGAACATGTTTGAAAGCATGGTCCTCAAAGACTTTAAGCCAAATACACGTGTCTACAACTCATTAATTAATGGATATTGCAAATTAGGTCAAATGCAGGAAGCCTTGAAGCTTCTTCATGATTTAGAGGTAAAATGCCTTCAGCCTGACGGATTCACTGTTAGTACAATGATCGATGGCTACTGCCTAAAAGGTGACATGGAAGGGGCACTTGGATTCTTTTTTGAGTTCAAAAGGAAAGGCATGCCACCTGATTTATTGGGTTTCATATATTTGATGAGAGGCCTATGTGCTAAGGGAAGGATGGAAGAGTCCCGGAGTATTTTGAGAGAGATGCTTCAGACCCAACATGTTGTTGATGTGCTGAATGAAGTTGACACTCAGGTTGAAATGGAGTCCTTGGCAAGTTTTCTGGTCTCTTTGTGTGAGCAAGGAAGTATCCAGGAAGCTATTACCATCTTAAATGAAGTTGCATCTATGTTTTTCCATGTTGGGAGGAGGTCTGGTGCTTGCAATGGTTCAGAAATTCTAGAGGAGCCATACAATGGGAAAACTTTTGATGTAGTTAAATCTAAGTCTTTAATCTGCAATTATGAGACTGATTTAGACTTCAAATCGTGCAATATGGGGAGATTAGAAGAGTTTATGAAAAAAGACCCCACTGTAGGTAATAAAAAATCTCAATATCTTGATTTTGATTCTTGCTATACCCTAATTGCCTCACTCTGTTCAAGAGGAGAGGTGTGGAAAGCCAATAAACTGGTCAAAATGCTTTCGGATTCCACAGAGGTACTCTACTTCAAATGATTGGGTTTTATACCTACAGATGGAGCTCCTTTCCATTCCACGTGCAACATTAAACCACGAAGGTTACACCTGCAGGTATTTGGCCACCCCCCTTCTTGTGATACTGTTAGTCAAACTTTTATACACTTTTCTATGTGGACTTCTCACATATTCAGGTGGCATCATTCTTTCTTGAAGGAATCTTGGTCCAATCATCTCTTAGCATGGTCTTTGATTGCTTAACTAACTCATACAGGTTGTGGACAGCGACAATTGTAAAAATAAAGCAGATGATTTGGGCAGGTGTTTCTTCTTGGTTTACACTGCTATGCTGTATCACTGTCATCCTCTTCTTCATTGTTTATGTGCCATACTTCGTTACAGCTGCCAATAATCTTCCAGTCTTTTGACAAGTTACTAACATGTACAACTTGTTCCAAAAAAGGCAGAAACTACAGCAGTTATGTAACACCACAATGCAATGTGCCGTCTGCGAAAGAGGGAGAGAGAGGGGGTAGGAAGATTGACTATATAGTGCTAGCTTCAGGTCAAGCCCTGTTACGAGCTGTTTCTTCTTGGAATCCAATTCCAACTGGAACCAAATGCTTTGTTCGCTGTATTATCATATTTCTCATATGCACCTTTAACTATGTAATTTATTCAATTTGACTTGACACGTTGACATTTTTCGCCAAGAAAATAATAGACGTTTGTGTTTGGGGGCAATGTGAAATCAATTCAAGTAATTGAAGGGCAAATGTAAAAAAATCAATAATTCCAGAGGCAGAGTAAAATTGAGATCATAATTAAATGGGTCAAAGTGTAGTTTGTTTTGAAAAATATCAAAAAGATTTTACTCACTGCAAAAAATATATAAAAATCCTAATATAAGTTCTCAAGAACTAAAGACCACAGGGCCCATGCCCCACTCACTCGTCACCTCAATACCTATTTGACAAAAAGAAAAAAATAAAAATATTAGCCACCTTAGAGTGAGGATCTATACATGTCAGAAAATCTGTTCTATCTTAAAATAAACATTTATATTTAAGATTTGCTGACATGGATAGTTTATAACCATGAAAACTGAATTTGAGGATTCTCCAATTATTTTGTAATTAAAGAGGAGTTTAATCACATTATATTATTATCAACAATATATTCAAATTCTCTTTTGAGTTCGGATTAGAAGTGAATTCCATCAAGATTGTAATTTGACTGGCCCATCAGGCAAAAACCCAAGTTTCTTGTATCACCACCACTATATTTCTCGTCTTGTTTCAACATATGATAGTAAGCCTGTTAATGGACTGAATTTTGGTTCCACTCCAATTATAAAATCTGTTTAATCAAATAGGAACCAATCTGTTTATCCAAATCTGTTTACATATCTTAAATCGGATATAAATATGAATATATACAAATTTGGTCTAATAAAAATTTGATCACGTTAATATATACATATAATATATATATAAGTTAAAGAGATGTAAGAATCGCATTGAACCAATATTATTTACTGGATTTTGAGCCTTCTATTCAAAAACTAAGAAAATTTTGACACCAATTGTACAAATGTCTACATAACTGAGCTTGAACAAGTCCCCTAACTCTGTCCCAAGACAAGAATGTTGCATAAATAACCCAATGTCGAGGGGAAAAAAAAATAAACTCAAAAATACCCGTCCCCAAAGGAAGAAACAGCAGCAACAGCCTGGCTCATTACCTTGTTTAGCTTGCTCACTCACTCTAATTGCCCTGCCGGTTGGTCTTGCACTCAAAAAGAAGCCAGGTCCGGAAGCATTCAATCCTTCTATGGCCAGAGGTGCTTCACAACACTGTCAGCTACACGGGAAATGGAGAGGAAGGGGTCGAAAGCAACTGATGAATCGACCAAAGAATTAGAATCAAAATATTATAGTCCCACTCAGATTCCTGTATAATTGGGGAAAATGTGCATCAAGTTATCTAGAGCGTCGGGTAAGAATTTCCTCGCAAACAAATAACAAGGTCGTTGATTTCCATTCCACAAGCAAGACCTAGTCTGGATTTCCTTCTGCAGCATGCCAAACAGGAATATTGTAAGTAAAATTATGATATTACTATTACAGATGCAAAAATGCATATCCTGAGTCTTATACGTACCCTTTCAGCACTTGTAACATGCACACTTTCTGCAATGGACTGCAAGAAATAACACATAAGAAAAGTTACATCCAAATTGAAGTCGAACACTAGCAGGAAATAGTGTAGCTCAATATACAGAGGATGGCCAACATTAGTATGCCACTTCTAATTCTGAAATCATCTAGTGACTAGATTAATATGAGGGTTGCAGTAATAATAAGTTCGACACTATCAAGAATCCCAAAGGTATCGGTATTCTATATCCATGCAATATATATGCTAATGTAACACCAATGAACAGGAAGAGTATCTGTATTCTCTATCCATGCAATAAATATGCCAACATAACAACAACGAACAGAAATTACATTTTGGGGGTAGTATTGTTTGAATAGGAAAAGGGAGGGAAAAGAGGATAGAGAAAGGGGGAAGGTTTTTAAAGGGAAAGGAAAGAGATAGGGACAGGATTATACAAAAGAAAATAAACAGCTAACATGTAAAGACGCAAGGAAAGTGGGGAGAAAAAAGTTAGCAAATTCGTACTGTAATATTTTGCATAAGCTCATAAGTAATATCCTGAGCGCCATATGATTTTGGATGCCACTTTCCTTCAGACCAATCAACATGTGTCACTGACCAGTTCGCAATTCCAGTAGGATCAAACATCTGAAGATGCATGGAAAGAAAATGCATTCAGAATGAACGGTCGCAAAAAGGGCATAGCTGAATGTGTAGTATTAAGGGAGACAAAGTAAAAGTTTCTCAGGTCCTCACATAGAAAAACGTTGGCAGATAATGTTCATCAGAATAGCAATTGATGTTCCGTTCCATACCAGGCTGTTAAATCAGAAACATCCAAGTCAGTCAATGGAGCCATAAACCGCATATACAAATTCCATGCTTCCACACAATCCATACAATCTGATACATGGCAAAACCCAAGTCACCTTACGAATTATAATGGGTATAGATGATCAACACGGGGTTTTATCAAATGAGCTAAAGGGAAAAGCTGAACCTATAGCTAAAAGTCAACAACTGCTTCAATTTTTCCCACCTAAAGGCACCTGAGCTATTGTGGTTGATATCACTCATCAGACCACATCCAAGATACAAGATACTAGTCTGGCTAATTCAGTTAAGGATCATTTTCCAGTTGTTTGACCAAGCATACCTAATATGCCAGAGGTATAGCTATGATTTGAAAAAAAACAACAAAACATGATGGACCCCACAAAAGAAAATAAATGAAGAATACAAACCACTGCGAGGGTAAGGTTGCGTATATCTCATTCTCGCCAGACCTCGCAGTGGTGGAAGTCTCTTGAACTGGATGTGTGTGCACTTGGATTTGAGCAATGAGAGACAGAGAGAGAGAGAGTTGTGTGTTTGCATCGACATATTTCCGTATAGGAATGTGTGTGTATACACAAATAAGAACGAAAAACAAAAAGGGAGAGAGAGACATAGATAGTGTGTTGGGTTTTGTGTGTGCATGGGTAAGTGTCCAATGGTATACTTGACCCACCTGAACTTAGATGTTGCAGGTATGGTACTACACCTACTATGAAACAGTTTTTCAAGGACTACAAATTGGCATTCATATTGCTTATTTACTGGATGATCTTTTTCACCATTTGCAAAAGCAAATTGTTCGTTGTTTGAAGCCAAGTAACATTCTTATTGACAAGGACAAGACTGCTCATGAGAGTGATTTTGGATTAACCAGGTTCATTATAGAAGCCATGAGTAAATCTCATCCCACTCAAAGCAGCTCACTTTCAATCAGAGTAACTATTGGGTGTGTATGCATCTTTGCCAGAGAGAAAAGAGAAGGACATGTACAGATTGATTCAATTAAAGAATAAGAGTCAAGTTTACTTAAATAAAGAATGAGTGGTTCCGGATGTTGGGTAATGAGTCATATTCGCATGTGCTGTTCATTTTGATGGAACCTAACAGTTTCAGTATGATTCCAAACTACAGGGGTTATGTGTAGGTTTTTGTAGCATAAGCAGATAAGTTGTAATTGGGTTAAACCAAAAGGAGGCAATCCATAATTTGCCCAAACGAGAAATGAATTATTGCAGGATAGCTGGATAGGAATGCAGCATAGTTGAATGATGTATACCAAACACAAGAAGAGACAACAAGAAGTCACTCTACCACACATAAGAAAAAAGGATTACAAGACTGCTTCAAGGCCTTATAAAACATAAACTTCACTGCAAAATAATTCTCTTTAATATCACAACAACATGCTAATGATTATCCAAAGGATCTTGACAACACACTCTTGTTGTGCTCATTCATTATCCAATGAATAAAAATTGTTGCATATGCAAAAGTACAAGTTACTAGATAGGAACTTTGATTAATAGGAGGGTTACATTGTGTGTTAAACATGAACAAGGCAAGGACAAGCCTGTGTATGTGCAAGACACTATCATATGTATGCTCACAGACATGCATGAAATTTGTAGAAATTGCTATCTTGCTTCATGTTTTAGAATTGCTGCATGATCTCTGTCAAATCTGAGTCCCATGCATCTGACGATGAAAACTGATGTACAAAAGAACTTGATCCTATTATGTCCTCCCCCCCCCCCAACAAAAAAAAAATACACACCCAAACAAAAAAAAAAGAAAAAAAAAAATTCTAGATACCTACTCTGTTTTTTCAGACTAAGCTAATGACCAAAAAACTTGAAAGCAATATTTAAACTTTAAAAGGCAAAAAGAAGAATATGATTGTCACATCATAATATAAATCAAGGGAAAAGTTTGAGGCAGAAATATCTTAAGCAAACCAGGATTCTGGCAAACCCTCCTCCTTTATCCGGGCTTGGGACCGGCAGTGTTACGCAGCACTGGCGGAGTTTTCTTACTCTACCATATTACATGTCCAACTCAAGCATGCAAACTCATGCAGAGTTAGCTCCGACAAGTAAAAATGGAATATCGTCAATTGATGGTGCGTATCAACAATTGTCAAGATCCATCAGCTGAAGATGTACAATTAGAACAGTGGTCAGGAGTTTTCAAGACCTAATTTAATTAGTAATGGTTATAGTGGTTCAAGGTTTCAACATATCCATATCTACTCTCTCTCCCTGTGGTGGAGCAGGTGAAGTTGTTTTTGGGGTGGAGGGGCAAAGGGTTTAGGTCAACAGACAAGTGGAATTTTGACAAAGTTCTTAGCAAGAGGGATAGGGCTGCAAAGTAATGAACCCCACAAATTTTCCAAGCTCAGCTCTTGGGCTAGTGACCATGGCTAGAACCTGGCACAGCTCATGGAATCATAAAAATGTTCAATCTCAACCAACACCGCCCTATTTCCCAGATTCAATATTCAGTTTTACGACCTGAAAACTACGATATGTAAGCATAGAAAGCTGCTAAAACTGACTTACATCAGAAATCACCAAATTACAGCAAAGCCTTATGCACTAAGGCTTAATGCAACTTCACTTTAACTGCATTTTAATGCGTCTTCTTGAGGCATTTGCAGTATTGGGGTTATCAAAAATTCATGGTCAAAAGTTTTTAATGTAATGAACTTTCCACTTATAGGAAAGTTGGGATTTCGTTCAAAATCAGTAGGAATCTAGGATGTTTCGTAAAGGAGCTTAAAGTCAGCTCATCTGCTAAATTAATGACCTCTTGCAAGCAAATATGCAAGCCAAGCCCAAAAGTAATTCAGAAACAACTGAGTTGGTGGGCAAAGGCATAAATCATAGAACTTCACACTTTATAGAGAAAAATATATGATGAACACTTGGAACTACAAACATTTCTCAAAAAAATTGCACAAAATAAATTATGACCAACAAAAAATTGTGCTTGGAGCATAGACTGTCTTAACGTGGAAATAATTTGAAAACAAACCAAATCGAAGAGTTCAATAGTGTGTATATGGTGTTTGTAAGTATAAACTGTGTAAGTTATTATATATAGTTCAAAATTAATGTGGATAAATCACAATGATAACTGCTTGAGTTTTGGCAAACTTATACAGAGATGCCCTAACATTTTAGAAATGCCGCAAGACCTTGAGTTCCCTCCCCCCCCCCCCCGGGCCGACAATTAAGTGGTACTCCATTTAAGAGGACCAAAAAAGGCAGTCCAGAGCACGAGACTCATGCCAATGCAAGGATTGGGGATGGTCAAATGTACGTAGCATTGCCGCGGAGAAGTTGTTTCCACGAGTTGAACTATTGACGCCCAAGTCACAATAGAGCAATTTTACTGATGCGCCAAGGCCCTCACTCAAACCATTTGAGAGGATTATTTGTGTAAAATCTTACATGTTGGGTGCAATTTTGAATAAGGCTTCAAAGCACTTAGGCTTGCATATAAAGACACACAGAAAAACTATGCATGCATAAATTTATGCATGGATATACTTGCATATATTTGCAACAACTCATAACCTTCCTTATGCCCTACCCTTCCTCCTTCGAATGACACCACCATTATGTATCCCAATTCTGCTCCAAATAATATTTTAGGTTCAAAAACACACATGTGAAACTAAATGTTTGACCCCTTTCCTAATTTCCATTATGTTTCCATTTACTTATATTATTTTTCTACTATGTGGGAATATGTCCAGACCCATATCCAGCAGTGTTCAGGAATTGCTGGGTGTTAAGAAATAACTAAAACTCTTACCAACATTTCATCCAACCATTATTCCATAGCAACAGATCAATCAAAGCATTATAGTCATTGCTTGCCATCACATGAATATAAATTCCTCCAAAGTGTTTACTACATTTGTCTGGGCCCATATAGTCATGGCAGAGGAACTTCCATGTACAAAGTACAAACTCTCATACTCTATGATGTGAGAACAATCAAGAAGGCTCAGGTTTAACCCGAATGTGGTGCCACTTGTAATTTTTTAACAAAACCTGCTGTAAGTCGCAAGCTTGACCATGTATGATCTTATATGCTAACAAAGATTCGTAGCACATCATTTGTACCAAGGAACTAAATGAGATGAACACTTCGGTACTTCAAGTGCATCTCACTTGATGGACACTACAAGTACACTTACAACTTAAAAGACAATGAAATCCAGAGATTCTGTGTTCCCATACAACTATAAGTACTCTAGTAGGCAGACAGAAAAACAGATCACTAGCAAGAGAAAAAATGTCAGAAACTGGGAAAGAAAAGCACATTCCAGGAAAAATGTAAACGGAAGAGTCTTTCAAAGTCGACAATCAAAGAAACATGCTTAGACGCCAAAACATCCTCAAAGCATAAGCACATATAAGTCCTTGCTGGAATTTAAAGCACAAGTCATTGAGTATATCAGTATTCCAATTTTGCCAACTGAGATGAACATATCATAAAGCAAACCACATTTAAAAAGAGAGCCACCTTGCAATAATCCCTGAATTTTGAGTAATAGAGATTGTCAGCCATAACCATGATAGCATGCTGTCGCTTCATTGTGAACCACTGCACAAATTCAATATTCAAACTATCACAAGAAGACAATTATAGATATTCAAATCAAGCATGTCTTAACTTGAAATATCCAACCAAGGACAACAACTTTAGCCACCTTCCACTAAATACGAGGAGAAAGAAATAACTAAGAATGCGACAATCCACCAAGTCATTTGAACTGTTGACAACAGGATGAATGTATTACAAGAAGAGCAATGCTAGATGGACTTAAAAAGTAGACTTGAGAATCTCAACAATTGATTTCACTGTGGGTCCTAGCATTATTGGGACTCACTGCCTATTCAATGGTTGAGATTATCAAGTCTAATTTTTAAGTCCATCTAGCATTACTCTCACAAGAAACACCAGACATTCACAGCATCAATGTGTAATTTGAAACTTATTTTAATTTGTTTTACTGCTTTTTAAGTAATATGTGTTCAGATTTTCTCATGCGGAAACCTTCAAAGATAGAGTCTGTAATCATTCCCCACAGATGGAAACCAAAGGCTACTGCTTGCTAGCGTACCCATGTGATCAGTTCAAATGCAGGAATTATACCTGTGCACCCTTCCGAAAATCTTTCTTCTCAACTTCAGGTAGCATATGTTCTGAATACCTGCCACTGCCATGCGGACCAGGATCCTCAAAGCTGGAAAGAATACAAAGGTGAGCATAAAAAAGACAACAAAACGAATTAACATCCAAACTAGTTTTGCAATATAGTAATGTTAGTGTTGAATAATCGAAGTCCAAAAAATTATTGAACCATCAAAATTTTATACCAGTTGGATATACATTCCAAAATAAATACAAATCCTGGTATATGAATAATCATCCGAAGAGCTATCTACAAAAGATAAAGTCATGGCAGGATCAAACCATCCAAGAAAATTGGCATACCAGTCTATGAAGCTGATATTGGTGTCCATCAGATAATTGTATACATATTCAAAATCATGCAATGGTATACAGCTGCAATTAAGGACCATAAATTAATTAGAAAATCGATAATGAAAACTGATCACGATTAAACAAAGAAAAAAGATGTTCAGAAACTACAGTAATTTTATCTCCAAGTCACCTGTCAGAGAGTAATATAAAATGCAGGTTGTCAGGGTCCTTTAGTGCATTTGTCAAAAGCCGTCTCTCTGCATCAACCATTGAAATTTTTCCCCAAACTACCTGCACATAGGATCGCATACAGATCTATGTAATGATGATGATGATGATGATGATGATGATGATGAAATGATGACGATGACAACTACAATGTAGAAGTTATCTGACGAATATAAACTGGAGACAGATATAGAGGCATGATGACATTATCCCTTAAGCTCATGTGTTAACACAAGAGATAAAACTAATCACAGGTTGGCCAGGTCAATATGTTAATGTGCTACCAACAACATCATGGAGTATGATTGTCGAAATTGATCATGCACTTAAATCTTGGAGAGGGGGGGAGCGAGTGGGAGATTATACCTCATAAGATTAATTAAAAAGTGGCGTAAATAATGTCCCATTCTAAAAACTCAAATATGGAAAATAATATGACCAATATCCAAGAAGATAAAATATGAAATAAACACTCAATATGAGACAAGCGAGAATGCAAAATGACATAGCAAGTGCCCAAAAAAAGCTTTGACAAAAGCACATAAGTGTACTACTAAATTTGCCAAATGTACAAATTTTCAATTTCAATGATAACTCATGGTCTAACGAATAACGTAAAGAAAGAGACAAGTGGTAAGCATGATAATTCTTATATAGAAATAGAATTGCTGGAAAACCATAATAACAATAAACATAAATAAGTGCACCATCATCAAGTCATAAAAAAAAAAAAAAAGTGTACCTCATTTAAAAAAATTGACCTAGGCAACTGGGAAAAACAAATTTTAAGGTACAAAATATTGAATAAAAAATAAATGCCCCAATTATATGAATAGATAAAACTGCATTATTTGATATCAGGTTCGCGAACCTTGTCACTGCGAATCTCCCGATTGAGAAAGTAACGGCTAACATGTACTGGTTTTTCCTTAGATGCATGCACATAGACAGAGAATCTGTCTTCATTGCCCTGCCAAACAAATGAGAACTTCAAGAATTATAATATAAAGAAATGAACCAAGAGCGTGAAATCGCTCATCATGACTGAAAATAACAGTAGGAAGAAAAATGATATATGGCATGCAAAATTTTACTATCACTATATTCACTCTTACCCAATGGCTGCATCTTAATCACCTTTAATACCCATGAGATAAAAAGAACAGACATTATTGTCCAACTGATATCAGCTCTCTAGTACAAATCTTTTGGTGTTTCGATGGTTATCATTCAAAAAGAGTTTTTGGACACCCTAACACATCAATTTGTTAATTGTAGAAAATATGGAAGACCGAAAATTGGAGATTCCATGAAAACTAACACTGTGTCATTGGTGCGGCCTGAGATATATGGATTACTAGAGAGGCCGGATCTGCTGAAGAGAGCTAATTTCTTGGCTAAGAAGACAGCATCCTCACCACTGTCAATTAAGGGTCACTTACCACCCTTCAGCTTTCTTAGAGCAGGCCAGGTGATGTGAACTTCTATTTCCTTAGTTTTTTTGGGTTGCATGTTCTAAAACTTCAAGGGTTGTGTCTCCTATTGTTAGAGGGCTAAATGATTCCAGCGAGAAATTCTTCCTTCCCAAGGAACTGAAATACCTTGGTTTTCATTTAACAGAACTTTGAGGAATAAGGGTTGGAAAAATCTGATGAGTCCAAGCAACCGTAAGAAGGTGGAGATAACACCCCACATCAACTAATTTTTATTTTGTTGCTGATAAGAAAGTTGGTTCAAGTAATTCATAAAGGAAACACACACAGGATATTAACAACTACGCCGATAGGTGCCGGCCATCTAACTTCGGTTATCTTCTCCCTCTTTACGAAAATTCTTCTTTCAATATGACTCAAATATAACAGCCTTTATTACCATCATCTACACATTGAAAATAAAAAGAGTGGTAAAAGGAAAAGGGGTAAAATCAGTGTCCTTTTCAACTTTCAATTGGCACTCTATATTTGATGTCCAAAACAAATCTAGAAACAGAGAAGTTTCTAAGTCAAAACTTGAATTATTTCTACGCCATGCGGATGAGCAACACTTGTATATTTTATCTTCCCTTTAATAGATACACGCGTGCATTTACTTCTCCTTTCACTACAATGCATTTTAAATCATAGAGTTTGAATCCAATATATTAAAACATGCTAAAAGTGAAAATACTCCTTAAAATACACAAAGTAACAATTTAATTGGCCTAGCAGATTTCAGTCACATATGGTATCCACAAGCGGCAATGGCATTAAATGAACATAATAGGTCTAAGCCTGCGCCTCAAGGCATGTTATACCAATAAATCACACATCCACCACTCTACATTATATTTTCAAGAAAGAAATAAAAGGCAGCAACCCATCAATAAAGCCGGCAATCATTAAATTTATTTACAATTAAGAAGTGTCCCAAAGTAGAAAATTCTCACAAATCCATTGTTATGAGGCTGCAAATTCATCCATTTGTGGCACATCTTGTTCCCAAATCATAACAACTCATGGTAATAGTGCTCCCATTAAGAAAGAGAGCTAATCTATCTACAAATAAATAGCAAAAGCTTTTCTATGATAAGTTGAAAAAATTCATACTTTCTAAGTAGGCTACATGTCATAAGCTATACATGATGATAAGTAAGCAAATGGCAAGCTATGTTACATGGGCATTAGAAAGATAAATGGAACAAACTGAATACCATGAGAAAAGAAATATCTTACCTGAAAAAACTTGTCCCACAGCTTCTCAAAAGGTAATGAACCTGGACTCAAGAACATAAAAGCTATTTTGGGGTTCTTCGGTACAACTGGTGGTGTATTCAAAATCTCTCTAATTACAACACGAGAAGAAATCTCTTCGTCTGTAAATTCTCTTACAGGAGCAGGTGGAAGCCAATTGGAAAAGGCATTGCAGCCATTAGAAGAGAATACGTAACATGCAGCCGAATTATGAGGAGGATAAACATAAGCACAAACTAAGAACATGCTAACCAATGAAACCAATACAATAATCCATGTTGGCTTCTTTAAATGAGCACGTTGTCGAGGCGCAGGCAGGATTTGCATGTCTTTCATGCCTATACGCCACACTTGAGCTGTCTTCATCTGCAATCAATGCATCACAGCCTTATCCCGAAATAAAACTTCACTCCCTTTCCACAGCTAGCAACCTATTCAACGCACTCTTTACCAAAAGTGGCTACCTAACAGCGTACTGCAGACTTCTTATCAGCCGTTTTCAGGAAAAAAAATGAATCTGTGAAACATAAAAAATTCATCAGCAAGTTCTGGTAATATATGAATCATTTAAACCCGAATAAGCGCACAGTTAAAAAGAACTCTAAACGCGACTGAACTTTGGCAGGAAGTTCTCTTAATATGAGGGACACATACTCAAATTTGAAATCTGATGCAGCCTACAGATAGCTGAGCACTCCAAATCACCAAATACGTTAGTGTGTGACCAATAACTTCAACATTCATTTAATATCTAAAAAGGCCTCAGTGTTGTCCTTGCAATTGTTAGCCAGACACTAATGGACTTTTCAATATCTAGAATATAGAATTTTTTCACTGAAGTACACAAAATTATGCGGTTCATTCTTCGATCCCAAATTTGTGAGATAAACCTAATGCCACTAAACCAAACCAAACCAAACCAAGCCTTATGACCCAATCATAAACCTAATGCCACTGTAGCAGCATAATCAGAGATCAAAATGTACAAACTACCAAAAGCAATGTTTCATCAAAGCAAGTTGGGATTTATGTTTTTGGACTTCTCTAAGCTGCCGAACAAACAAGACCAACTAAAATCTGCCACAAATCCACGAACAAACCCAGCGAAATAAAAAGTCAAAGCTATCCATCCAAGTCTAACCTACCAAATTCACATTCCAAATATATATATATATATATATATATATATATATATATATATATATGTGTGTGTGTGTGTGTGTGTATGTATCTATATGTGTGTGTGTGTGTATTCAACCATGGAATTTGTCGAACCCCAAACCTCTATCTTTTCTTCCCCAATTTCCGAACTCGCGGCCAGAGAAACAATTAGTGTTTAAATATATTTCCATATCAAACTGTAATGCCAAATCTTTAGTTTGTAGATTTCAATAAGTCCACAAATTTCTCTCTACCTCTCTCCCTCTCTCTACACGAATATACGCACACCCACATACACATACACATACACTAAGAGAATGAGAATCGACACCTGATTAACGGTGATAAAAAAAAATCTTCAATCAAAAAGAAATACACGCATTGATATTCATGTATGCGCCATACACACAAAGGAGACGAAAAAAGAAGCCACACCTGATTAAACGGCACCGTATGAATCACAAACAGGGAATCTTCAATCAAAAAGATCCACAGAGACTCTCGATGGTTTCCTCTTCCAAGCGCTTTGAGATCTAGGTCATACAGGCAGAAGAGAGACCAATAGCGAAGAGAGAGAGAGAAGCAGAGTTTCTATAAATAGATAAACATTTTTATACATACACTTGTGTCGTGTGTGTAATAATTTGTTAGACGATTCGACTCTATATGACTCTTCTTCTTCTCTCTCTCTGAAATTTCCAAGTTGAATTAACAGTCGTTTCTTTTTTTTCCTTGGCTCCGTCCAAACACAAGAAGAACAATTCCAGCCGGCGAATTTTGTAATATTATTTTATTATTATTTTTTTAATCCTTCCGACATAAGGGGTGGACCCAATCGCAGCGAAAAGCGCGTGTGTAGTTCTTACATGTCAAGTTAGAAATTCCAATTGGGTTTTGCCAGGTTTCTCTCTCCCATTGGCTTGAAGCGGTTGATTTTGTTAACCTCTTGTGATGGTTGTTTCTCTCCACCAATGAGAAAATATTCCATACAACAGTGACATATCGTAATCATGATGCTATTGAGTAGTTATGAATAACAGCAAAGAAAACATGTAGTTATGAATAAATATATGAGATTAATAGATTTTATAAATGTTTATTATTTAAAAACATTTTTTATCTTTAATAATTATTATGTAAAATTAGTGGAGTTTATTTATCCTATTTGTGTATTTATTATTAGTCAATAACACTATTTTTAAAAAATAATGTAGAGTGACCGCTATATTGAATATTACATTGCTTTTTTTTTTGTACTTTATTAATTTTTACTTACCAAGCAAATGCAAGTAATTAAATTAATGAATATCATTCATTTTTCCAAATGATATAGAAGTACTAAAATCATCGCCATGGAATTGGTCAAGGTTACAAATCTCTTAACTATTTTTTATCAAGTGCATGTGTTGTATAACTTGCCTATTGCTCACCTAGTGTGATAAATGAAATTTAAAATTCGAATTTTATTCTATTTTATTTTTTCATCATTGTCCTTGTTTATCTTAATCGCTTGAGAATATGAGATCTTCCTAATTAGAGAAAAATGATGAAGAGACGTTGAGTGGTAAAAGTAGTTTCAAAATAAATTTAATAAATAGTGGGTAGTTAGTGGAGTAATAAATGGCTCGTAGTTACTGTAAGTGACACATGCTTGTATATAATTGGAAGAACCTTTTGATTTTTAATTTAAAATTTTAAAATTCTAAGAAATTAAGAAGTAGAGAGGAAAAGCCTCCCATGCTCTTATCACTTTTTTTGTTTTCTAATATAATGTATAAAATAGATTATAATCCGTTGACGTCCAAAAATATTATAATCTTTCTAAATATATCTATGTGTGTATATATACGATTTATCGCAAGTTAAAATAACCACTTAGTTATTAAATTTCCTAGTCTCTTAGAGGAAGATGTAGTACCATGTCTGCAAAACAGTTTTGGAAAAGATTGTGCATGTTATTTTTACATTCTATAAAGATTTTAAAATTTTTACTTTGTCTTTAAGGCTTAAAATCTACATTGCACCTTAAAAATTTAAAATGAAAGCAATGTTCCCCTTTTGACCTTTTAGTTGCACAAATTTAGTTCCTAAATTTTGGCACAGTGAAAAATATTGTTAGCATTTAAAGAAATTCAAAATACTATTTAAGACTTTTAATTTTTAAAGGGTCAATTTAAAAAAATTAAGACCTTTAAAAAGGCAAGGTCTCACATGGTGCACCACAAATTAAAGCACAAATGACATTTTACCCCCATAAAAAGTTTAAAATTTTTTTGCTTGGCCTTTCCACACATGAAAAAACTCATATTACTCCATGAATTTCTTTAATTGTAGCCGCGTTCCCCTTTTCAAGCCCTTTTTTTTTTCATAAACAGATACACCAAGTTGGGAAAAAAAGTGTATTATTATAATTTATAAATGTTTTAAAATGTAATATGAGATATTTAATCTTTGAAAGGGCGAATTAAAAACTTTTAAATATTTTTGGGAGTTGAGTGACATTAAGCTCAAATTAAAATCCATATAAACAATTCCATCCCACCGAGCAAGAAGGTTTGATTGGACAGGATGAGTTTAAGTTAATTGTTTAGTTTGCACAAGATAAAAATGTGAAATTAATTTTTATTTGTCCAAAATACTCACATTTTTCGTCTTATTTTATTTATGTTTGTGTGGATGTGCACATACATATGTATTTTTTATTTAATCTTTTTATAGGATAGTAATGACAATAATATTTAATTGTAAAAAAATTGCGAGAGAGGTGATCAGGATGATAGTGGTGGTTGGTGCGTACATACACCATTATTGGTGATGACAGTGAGTAATGTGGAGCAAGCGAAAGGTTAAACTTATCTAATTTATTACTAAAAAATTGTAGTTGGTTAAACTGGTAATTCTGAAAAAAAAAAAAAAATTAGTGAACCCAAAAACTCAACACAACATTGTCTCCGTAATTCGTACTGGACAAATAGCGCGTGGCCGTAGCACCAGCGACACAGTAGATACGAGGTACATACGAATTTTAACGCATCATCCATTAACCGGGTTCCATCGGTGAAATTACTACAATACCCCCAACCAAACTTAGGTATTAGTATTATATTGACTAAGTCATCTTGAAGATCACAGTGGCCAGATTCATTCACGTGTCATATGGGCTGTTGACCTGCACAAACATCCATGTGCTTGACACCCCCCGCCCCATGCCCCATATTTCTATCTCCTCCTCTAGACGATGGATGTTAGTGACGGCGTCACTTTTAACGGTCAACGGACAAGGCTAAATAGTCAATGGCAAGAGTTTCTTTCTTACACACACACCATTTGTATACGGCAACTAGAGTTTGTTCAAAACATTTGACTCCATTATTTCTGATTTATAAAGAAAATAGAAAGTCCCCAATTAACACATGAGTGAATACAAATCTCGTATGATAATTGAAAAATTTTATTCATAATTAATAATTAGCAACATAGCGATTTTCACGATGATTAATCATCAAAAAAATTAAAGTCTAATTGATTCTGACTTAATTCTCATCCTAAAATTTCACTAGAATTTAATAAAATTTGTAGATTTTAAGAGATTAAACAAAGAGTAATGCTAAATAGACTTAAAAATTAAACTTAAAAATTAGACTTGATAATCTCAACTATTGAATAAGTAATGGTTCCCAATAAATGCTGAAACTCACAGTAAAATCAATTATTGAGATTATCAAATCTAATTTTTAAGTTTATTTTTTAAGTCCATGTAGCATTGCTCTTAAACAAATCACACAAAAAAAGTTCATGATTAATGCTCCGTTTGATAGGGAGGATGAAAAGTAGGAGAAATCCATTTTCTATCTTTCAAGGATAGAAAGTAAAAATGATACATTTTCCTTCATTTGCGTTTGGTTGGATGGATGGAAAATAAAAATAACTATTTTTTTTTTGTGACGGCTAAGATTAGGGGTGACAATCAAGTCGTGTCGTGTCAGATTCGTGTTGAGTCATTACGAGTTTGTGTCGAATTTTAGTCAAACCTAACTTAACTCATTTAACTAATTTTGTTGTGTCGAGTTGCGAGTTGACCTTTTATTTTTGTATCAAATTCGAGTCGTGTCATTGTGTTGAGTTGAAAATTTTCACCCTTAGTTAAGATGAAAAAAATATTTTTTTTAATTTAATTTTTTTTTATTATTTTATATATATATTTTCCGTTGTATTTTTATATGAAATTAATGTATACATAATATATGTATACATTAAAAATATATATAGACAAATAAGATACATCTCAACACAAATAATTAACTTTTCATCTACTTTCCTTCCGATTTTGGAGGCATTGATTTTGATAAGTTGGAATGAAAGTTAATACATTCACTTTTTCATCCTTCTTCTTACTTTCATTCCTTACTAAACATGATGTATTATTTATTTTTTCAACTTTTCATCTTTCTAACTTTTCAACCTCTCATTTTTCTATCGTATTAAACGGAGTATTGTAAAAAAAAGTCATTGCGTCGGCGTTCTTCCATTTTATTTCGGTAATTTACTGTTACAAATTTGGAATATAATAACACCCAAACACAACACTAAAGAGAAATAAAATAGTGATATAGTTGAATAATAAATTGTTTATTTTCCAACTTTCCCCGGATAGTGTCACACCCTTTTAAAAAAAACTTTTCCAACATAGTTGCCACTTTTTTTTTACGAGTTTGAACTATTTTTTAAAACGAGATATATACTATTTATTGGACAGATTCAGATCTTTTCAACTGTTTTTTTAATATTTTTTTTACTGTATAATTCTTATTAGAAAAAAAATTATATTTTAACCCCCTCAAGTATATCTCTACCTCATCTTACTTACTCAATTGTCACTTTTATCATAGTGCACCTCAATCATAATCACGAACTTTACATTGCATCACAAAGAATGAATCAAGTGACATACTATTTTTAAGGACTAGAAAAACCTTGTTTGAATTCTATCAAAAATTCTTATGGGTCTAAACAAGATCTGCATAGCTTATTCTACAATGACTTGAGTATTGTACCGAATATTTAAATTTTATTTTTTTAATCAATGTTTTAATAATTTTATTATTTTAATAGATATTTTTATATATTTTGACAGTATGATATCGATATTTTAATCGGCCAATACCATTCCGCAACTTCTTATTTTAGGTAATTTCTTTTGATTAAAGTGGTGCCGTGACTAATGCATCTTAAAATTGCGTTGAATGGTACTGTACTATTGTTATTGCACTTTCTTCGAACTTTCCTCTTGGATTGGATAGGGAAAAAAAATTTAACACTTGCCGTTTTAGACCATAATAAAAGTAATGTAATTTGCAATTAATCACCATAACGGACAACCTTGGATCCATGTGATTAAGGTTTAAATATCACCACTTGCCATGGAAATGGGGTCAGTACTACAACGTGAGTTTATTCCAGAAGCCTCATCATAAACCATGTGACGCAGATTCTGCCCATCCTCAAAACCACCAAAATTACAACTCCTATTTATCAGTATTTCACATTATTTATAAGAAAAATATTATTTTGATATAAAAATCTGACATAATTTACTGACTTAAAGAAATGGTTTCATTGGAATTATTGGATGAACACAAAATTTTAATGTTTGATGAAACCCACAGTCAATCCAAAGGTCATAGTAAATTAGGTCTCAATATTATTGCTCTATTTATAATTATGAGTGTTAAAATATGACACGATCTATTAACATGATATAAAATTAGAGGGTTTGAATATTTTTAAAATCACTTTTTTAATAAATCAGTTGATCTAATACGACACGATTAATAAACAAATCGAATATGAGTAAAGTCAATCAGAAAAAATACACGATATAAATTTGATGTGACATAATTCGTAAAATATGAATTAATAAACAAATCGATGAATAAAAAATAATTTTTAAAACGAACACCGCTAAGATTTAATGCGAACCTGTCTCACCAAAATATGTCTAATTATAACGACAGCCAGTTTATTACAAGAACTAACTAACATAGGATGTATATCTGCCACGTGGCATGCCTGACTTGGTCAGACTGAGCTGGTGCCAAGTAAGAACAGACATTAGGTCAAATTTGGAATGCAACAAATGGACCCACGACCCAAACTTCAGAAAAGTCTATGGAAAGTTTATGAAAGGTATCGGATTTGCATCGTCCAAAGTTTTAAGATCTAGTCAGTCGTGTGTATAAATAGTATCAGTATCTAAATAAGAAAAATGATAAATAATTAGAATAGATTCATATAGGATGGTTACTTACTAGAGACAGTTTCGTGCGATGTACGAAATTTGCACACATTTTTTTTTCTCTCTCTATTTCTATTCTTTTTTCCCTTTTTTTTTTGTATTGTCATCGTATCATTTGAAAAGTTAAATAAAAAATTATGTAAAATTAGATTGATAAAACAATTATGAAAAAATAGGATGATAAAATTAAGTTTTTTTTAAAAAATAAATTAGTGGCTAATTGTAAATGAGAGATACTTAATTAGTATAGTAGACGTGTAGCTATACGAGACATGTGTAAGAAAATAATTGGTTAAAATTATGTGTGATAATTAGGTAATTAAAAATTTTAAGAAAAAAGAAAAGTGAAAGGAAAGGCTTTTCAAGTCACCTCCCACCCAATTTAATTATTATATATATATATATATATATAGTAGTTCACTCCGTACGATACATGAGATTATAGTTCTCATAGACTCTTCTGACCGTCTTAAATAGACTCATCCAACGACCACTAACATTTCTATCCAAACCAGCCATATTGAATTTCTCCCTCCCCTAAATCCATAGCTTCTCACTTATATTGTATCGTGCCTAGCATATAAATAAATGAGAGTTAATTATGGACATTTAAATGTATTTAATTACCCAATTTGAAAAAATTATGTATGATTAGATTGAAAAAGGGTATTATAGTCATTTTTGGTGGACATCAAAACCACCCTCTCATTCTAGTAATCATACACGTGATTAAAAGGATAGTACATCATATTAATTAATTATAATCCTAATGTTATAAGGAAAGCATACTTAACTACACAACTAAATCAAAATTTAACATTTTGTTTTAATTTTGCACGAAAGACCCGAACACGTTAATTACAACATGTGTAAATGTCATAAATGAGAAATGTTAGTTGGATTTAAAATATAAACTTGATCAATCGCAATCATTGAATAGATAATATGATTTAATAAATAATGAGACTCACAATGAAATCAATGACAATGAATGATCAAATCTATATTTTAAATCTATGTAATATTGCTCGTCATAAAAATGGAGAGAGAGTAGTGCGATCATAGAAACTTTACACCAAAGCCTGTAGTAGATACGTTTTATGTGGACTGTTGGATCATGATTCAACGACCAATGTCCACTAATGAAAGAATCTCAATACTTGATGTAAAATATTACCAAATTTAGATATGAAAAAAAACAGAAAGATCATCGATATATATCAACATAGCAGCAGACTGTAAAAACTTTGTACAATAGTCATTGGTGGAAACTTTTTATGTGAGATTCAATGGTTATTAATGAAAGAAAACCAATATTTAATGCAAATATTTGCCAAGTTTAACTATTAACTAGAATTCTCTATGAGAAAAGTATATTTAATATTAAGCAAAAAAGAAAATATTTTCTTCAATTTTCTGATCTTTTTTCTGAAGTTGAAGAGGATATATTTCCCAACTTTGAGATTTTCCCAGATTTTTGCCGAAAAATGAAGATCATAGTATGACATTGGAAAATCTAAATCAATATTAAATGACATTTATGATTTCATTCCTTCCGTTCACCACATATATATATATAATTAGTAAATCCACCGGAACAAAGTCTCAGACACAACTTAGAATTTTTGTGAAGTTGAGAGACTGAGAGAGGCTAGTTACGTACGATATGAGGAAGATGACCATGCTCTCCCTAACCTTTTGCATTCACCTCCTGCTCATTCTTGCATCAGGTAAAACTTTACCGTCGGGGCCATTGTCCTAGTGTACCAATAAAAGTTAAAAAGGTTGTTCTATCACTAAACTCTCTTGTCATCTCTCTCTCTCTCTCTCTATGTATATATAGAATCAAGTGGTATTAGTCGACATTCATCGTTTTGAGATACTGCGATGCTAAGACCAATGCATCTTAATATCCAGAGAGGTCGATAGCTGATACCACAAACTGCAGCATAATACATTAATTTTTTTTTTTGATGCAGTTAGGAACACAGTGAGCAACGTTGAGGGTGGTTCTGCCGCTGCTACTACTCCTCCTCCTCCTCCTGGTGTAACGGTGGAAGCCAGAAAGAGGTGCTCCATTTATTTGGGGCCTTGTGGTATAGAGACGTGCAATAAGACGTGCTGTCACGATAAATGCTATATTAATTCAAATCCAAATCCAGATGGAATTTGCCAAAAAATCCCTGGAAGTGCAATCATGTTGTGCAACTGCTCGTATGATTGTTGACCCCCAATCCTCTATTTTATGAAATAAATAAATACATTCCATCTCTGTGTGTGTGTGTGTGTGTACCATTCGATTGGATGAATTTGATTGAACATAGCAAACATACTTGTTTTTTTTACCTATGTGCTTGTCCAGCATATCTAGATCAACTTCATAATTGTGCTTAAAAAATTACCCCAACTATCTTAAAACTAGAGTTGATAATTGAGTCGAACTTTAAGTTCGAACGGAGCTTGTCGAGCTTATTTTTTTTATTAAATGAATCTAAACAATTGTTAAAACTTGATTCGTTTAAAAAATAAGTTGAGCCCAAAAGAAATCGAACTTGAGCCAAACTTAAGTAGTTAGACTATTTTATATATAAATGAGCCGAATTTTACGAATTTGAGCCTAAAAGGTTGTTAAAGCTTGGCTCGTCTAGAACACAAGTCATATTTGAGTCAAACCCAAATAGCTTGACTTAATTATCGGCCCTACTTAAAATTGAGAATGAGCGGTAACATACCGAAAAATAATTTGTAGTTATAATTTTTTGATTGATTGTTCAGTTATAGCCATTAATCATGAAAATAACAAGTTAAAGTAAAATAATATAATTAGAAAACTTTACACATTTATTACATTACCGTGGGCTGAAAATCTAATTTGTGAGTGCAACTCTCTAAAAATCATTTCAATGGACAAAGTGATATTATGATATCTTTATTGACGGATAACTGAAGAGTACTGCAAAGTGAAAATTATTAACAGCTATCGCGGGATGAAGTGTCACCAACCCAAAACTTAGTACCACCAAATTAATCTTTCCTCTTTGCCACTATCCTATGAAAATCAACGATCTTTTTGCACATAAAAGATTGAAGATTGTGAAAGAGAACACAAACTTAACACTATTAAACGAGTATGAGGGGAGTTTCTTTCTTATTTAACCTTTAAATCTCTTCTCTATGTTAGAGAGTTTCTTTCTTATCAAGAGCGTGAGAGGAGGCGGCCAAAAAAGATGGATTGAATCGATAAGTCTATTCTTGTTCTTTATTGATAGGATTCCCATTATTTAAAGTCTTCGGCCAAGGAGATTTCTTTATTTCTTTTCTTTTATCTCCATCTGGTCACCATTGTTGGCGTTTGCTTGAAATGGATACTGCATAATATTTGAGATTTTCTTTGATTTCATGAATGTAATAAGTATATTACAACAGATTTTATTTTTTTAAAATAAAGGAGAGGGGTGACTAGTAGGTAGCAACCTACTAGGTATGACCATGAGGTTCCCCTACTATGAAGTGTCCGATTTGAGCCGTACCTACTAATCCCGAAGGACAACACACTATCAAAGTTAAATAGTAAACCGCATTACTCCCGTAGATCGAACTCTATTTAATAACTACATGAGAATCAAGAACGACCTTAAACAGATATGAATTACCACTAAATTACCATCACTGGTGGTATATTACACTAGTTCAAATTTGGGAATTAGTTAAATTGGCAGTGAGAATTTGGGTTGTGGCAGTGGCACTTGGCCCAATTGATCACAAAATCTTAAAAAGTTTTCTGGATCCTCATGGATTACTTTTTCTAATGAGAACTAAATACAAGTTCCTTTTCTACTAAATACAAGTTTTCTGCTCCTCCTCGCTTCTACATCAAGTACACTTTTGTTTTTGTTTTCCTTTTTTTCCTGAATTTTCGTTTGGTTGTTTAATGATAGGACTGACAATTCATTTTGTTAATTGAGTCTTTGTCTCGTATCCAATTTGTTCAACTATATCCCATCAATCTGAAGTTGTTTATGTTTCGTGTAAAAATCCACTAACAGATCAACGCTATTTAATAGAACTTCCATAGAGTATTTTCGACTATTTTTTTGTTCTTTTTTCTTTTTAAATCTTAGTATTTGAAGTTGTGTTTAGTTAGTTTCATATCTACCTATTTACTAAAAAAGGTCCGATGACAGTCAATTTTATTATGACCCAAATTCATACATATATCATCTCGGTTTTGTGTCGAGTTAACAAAAATTCTACAATGCCGACAATTGAATTATATCATACTATTTTGCTAAGATCTTATGGATGACATATGTGTGTTTTAAATTAATGTTGATGATGCAGTTAGAAGGATAGTGGGCATGGAAGGAAGCTCAAAGGCAATAATGGGTATAATATATGTTGGAGATGGGAAAGAAAGGGTTGGTTCGACATTGGCAGCAGCAAAGTGCACGTACACTTTGGAGCTTTGCAGCACAAAGAAGTGCAATAATCCGTGCTGTAAGGATCGGTGCAACAGAGCATTTGCTATCCAAAATGCAGAGGGAGCTTGTCTAAAGCTCCTTGGATCTGCACTCTATATGTGCACCTGCTTTTATGATTGCCCCTCAATTTCCTCTTTAACTTATTTTTCAGACAAACATCTCTCTCTCTCTCTCTCTCTCTCAGTTGAGGCTTAAGGGAGGGTGGAGATTGCGGGTATCCAAACTTTAAATCTCTTCTGTATGTGAGGGTGTTTCTTTCTTATCAAGAGTGTGAACGGAGGCCAAAAACATACAGATTGGATCGACAATGTCGAACCAACCCTGTTGCATTCTATCCCCATCCTGTTGCATTCTGCTTCTCCTCATTTCTACATCAAGTAAATCTTTGTTTCTTTTTTTTTGGTAGTAATTTGTGTCATGTCAAAAGTTTATTGTTTAATTATAGGATTAATTGACAATACATTCATATCCAAGTTATATCGTGTTCAAATTAGTCCAATCCACACACACGAACTATCTGAAACCATGTTTAGTTATGTGCGTGTCATGTATAAGTCTTCTAATCTTGATTTTCCATAAAAGAAATCCAGGAATAAATTTGGGTTGTTTTATAGTATTTGAGAAAAATATTTACATATGTTTATCTTCCATTATTTCTGTTTTTTAAGATAAGGATTTCTCTAGCAATTCAACATAGTCAAAACCCTATAGAGTAGTTTAAATAGTAATAAGGACGAGCTGGTAAATCTAGATATTTTTAAGTTCGAATTTTGGTAATCCCTTGATGTCATGTCCCTCATGAATATCTTAATTCTGAAATAAATGATCTGTTTTTGATTAGACCGGACAAGGAATAAGTTGGTTCGAACACCTTAGTTATTTATCATATAGGTCAGCTAATCGACTTAGTTAAGACCCGAATCCTTTAAAGCAAACTCATACCACGCTTGTTTGCTGGGATGCAGTTAGCAGCACAGTGATTATGGTTGCAGCTGAAGGAGGAAGCTATGAGACAATGTGTAAAACATTAAAGTGCACAGATATTGTTGGGCCTTGCAGTCTAAAGAGGTGCGATAATGCAAAGTGCGGGGCAGTACACACTGGTAAAAGAAAATAGAATTTTAGATGTGTACTGTTTTTAAATGTATAGAACAAAAATTACTCTGAATCCACAAAGAAAGTAACGTGAGAATATTTAAGAAAAAATTATATTATTCAATGAATAATTCATATTGCATAAGAATATATATATATATATATATATAGAAACGACCAAAACTCTACTCGTCCCCATAATAGAGGTAAAATCTCTAATTATATAAAAATTATCAAAAATAAAAAATTATAATATAATTAATTAACATAAAAGTACGTGTCGTCTAGAGTCTAACAAAACTGACAATACTGAATTCGTAATCTCTTAAAATTTATTATTAATTTTTGAATTCTTTCATAAAATAGCAAATATATGATTTTGAAGTCTAAATAATGAAATTCGACTCAAAACTGAAGAAATTCATAATAAAATAATAAGTCTTGATCATTGACTTGATTCGAATAATAAGTCTTTTTTAATATCATATATGTTTTGCATGTAATTGAATTCGCGCCGACCCATGTATTAAATGGTCCGTGTCGAACTATTTATCGTGTATGTTTATAACATAAACCTGTTATGGCTAATTTCGTGTCAATTTCTTATCGAGTCGTGTGAAAAAGTCTTACCCGGTTTTGCTGCTTGATTTGTTTTACTATTAGTTAAAAAAATAAGGAAAAATTTCAACCATGTCTTTTCTAATTTATTATTTCTTCAAAAGGCATTCGCTACATTATTAAAAACATCATTGATACCCCCTTCTAATTTATATTTAAAATAGTCATAACTTGTACCTGAAAACACAATAAAATATAAAATTCGAGGGTTTAAAAAATCAATCTCATTATATTAATTTTTTTCAAAATATATTAACTATAAATTAATTAAATATTAAATAATTAAATATATGATAGAAATAAGTGATGTGATATTTTTAGAGAATAAATATATAAATGATTAAACATATGATAGAAATAAGTGATGCGATTTGACGTTTGAGTCTAACAAATGGATGATGGGTTAGGAAAATGATTGATGATGATTTTAAGAAAAAAAATATGACTGAGATAAAATTCAAACACATTGCTGTTTTATTATATAGATATCATTGACACTCTCTGTAATTAAACCACCATTTATACCATAAAAAATTCATCTAAAATATTAAAAATGCCTCTACATAAATTCCAAATATTTTATTTACATAAAATTCGAACCAATTAAAATTTATTTATTTACATATTAAAATTCGAGTTGATTAGAATTTATTTTTCTACATATTAAAATTTGAGTCGATTAAAATTCAATTCGAGCTGCTTAAATTTTATTTTTTTATGTACTAAAATTCGAGTCGATTTGAGATCTACTTGAACTGTTAGTGCCAATTAAAATTCACTTCTAGCTGATTAAAATTTATATTTTTTATTTATTAAAATTTATACCAATTAAAATTCGATTCAATTATGTATTAAAATTTGAGTCGATTAATGTTTTTTTATGTATTAAAATTTGGGCTTATTAAATTCGATGCGAGTTAGTTAAAATTTAATTTGAGCAGATTAAAAATAATTAATTTTCAATTGGCTTGAATTTTAATATATAAAAAAAATAAATTTTAATTAGTTCGAATCGAATTTTAATCAACTTGAATTTTAATATGTAAAATTTTTTTTTAAAAAAAGGGGTCTCATTGAATATATGTTTATCTAGAGGGTTGTGAATGAATGCTTTACCAGAATGTTTTTAAAGGTGCCAAAACTGTTCGGGTTAGCTTGCCTGCTAGTGAGCAGGATTGAGTGAGTTGTTAAATTGGACAAACTTAGCCTTTTTATTTTGGTTTGAAAGGGTAGGAAAGCAAGTCGCCTTACATTGCTCGTAAAACAATCACAACTTGTGAGGCGGAGGCGGAGGCGGAGGTAGTTGTGCATGCAAGATCTTGTACAATATAAATATGAGAACAGATCTTTTACATGGTAAATACGTATTTAAAATTGGGTGGTTGATCTTACTAGTTGAACAGGTTGTGGGAGTCGAAGGTGGATAATCAATCGTTAGTATGAGTCGCCTGAGTGATCCTGAAAAATTGAAGGGGATTCCTGGAACAAAGAAAAACAAGTTAGAAGGGCGTCGGAGTGTTTTTCGGTGTATCCCCTCCGACGATCAAATCAGTTCTTTGAGAGAGGGGAAGAAGAGAACATTGTATGAAGGTTGAGAGAGGGTTTATTGCGTACCTCATCATGCATTTTGTGAGGAGTATTTATACCTTAAAAAATCATGATTGATGTCAGTATGGTCAATAGGTGATCATTAGAGGTGGGTAACGTGCGCACTGGTTTTTAGGAGAAATGACACCTTCCTTAACTGCTCGGGACCCCAAGCAACCAATGCATCACCCTCGGTCTGTTGAGTATTTAATGACTTTCACTCGGCAGGGATATATTAAATGTTTGGTCACAAGAACATTCATTGTCTTTCACTTCCGGGTCTTCACACATTAAATGCTATCTCATTAAGGGAAAGGTGCATTAAATACTTGCTTTTTCAAGTCGTGTGTCAGCAAGGGCATTCTGGTCTTTTTGCCTCTGATCTGACACAGTACGCCACGTGCCAGCTCCTTTTTGGTTGAGTCTTCTGCTTTCCTGTGCGTCGTGACACCATCTAGGTAAGACCAGGTCATGATGGCTAATTTAGCCTAGCCCAGGCTGATGATCTGTCTATCAATAACCCTGCAGGAACAGAAACGCCGATGTAGCGGATACACCTCGGTACCGAGGGCCTAGTACGATTAAGGGCTGATGTACCCCCCAAATTCGACCGAGGAATACGTGTCGCCACCCGTGCATACCGCATCGTAGATCCTTATGCATAGTCCCCTCTTCGGGGGAAGAGGGATCATGATCCGACGAGCACGTGTCGTGATCACAGCAGAGAGTATTTCTTTGACACCGAGTACATGTGTCGCTATCTTGGAGTGTCTGGAAAATGTCCCATCAACTGCCCCCAGTCTTCGATCTTCTGACGCCGAGGGCACGTGTCGTAAGGATATAAAGGGTTCTGCAACTACCCCAACCACTTCATCATTGCCTCTAGCCGCTTTCCCCCGCTTAGGAGGTCGTGCGCATTAAATGCGTCTTTTCGTGCTTCGTGCCAATGATGGAGATGAGTACTATATAATGGGTTCTCTTTCTCCCTCTCACACTTTGCCATTTCGAACTATTGAGAGAGCCCTCGCCTGAAATCTCGCTGGAGACCCACTTCCTTACGTTGTCTACAAACCAATCTTCACCGGAGTCTTAAAGCCAGCAAACTCATCCTTGCTTCTGAACCTCTGGAGGAAGGAACCACTCCAAGTCTTCAAGAAAACCTTCGTTCACGTTCTGGTGAGTTCTTGTATCTTCCTTATCTCCGCCCTTCTGTCTCCTTTTCTCTTCTTCTTTCCCTTTTTTTTTTGTTTTTTTGATTCTCCGATAACCAGAGGTGTTTCTGGTTGTCACTTTGTGACCAACCTCCAGGAAACCCCTAGGGGATCTTCGTAAAAAAAAAAAAACTTTGTCCTTCCTCTTTAGTTTTTATCCTCTTTGGAGATGCCCCGATGTCGGCCTGTCACCAAGGATCCCCAAGCCAGTTCCTCGAGGTCAGGAAAGTACAAAGTGAAGGGAGAGGAGCAGATTAATAGGTTTAGGGCTCGATATCGTATTCCCCTAAACATAGGTATAGATGAGTACGACCTAGTTTTGCATAACCGTATTGTCGGGGCCGAGAATGAGATGTCATTTTTCACCAAGGCAAACATAGAGGATGAAATTAGGTTCCCCCTGCCTCCTCTACTCCTCCAGTTCCTCGCCCATTTCAAACTCTTCCCGGGGCAGTGTTGCCTTAACGTATTTAGGATAATAATGGGGGTCTTAGAGCTTAACAACTGTCTCGGGGTAAACGTTGGGCTCAACGATATCCTTTTTTGCTACTCCCTGTTGAGGGTCATGTCTCAGCAGAATTTCTACCTCAAAGCCAGGGATCCCTCCATGTACCTTGTAACTCACCTCCCTGACTCGAACAAAGGATACAAGGATGACCTTCTGATCTTCAGTGGATCTTGGCAGCGGGGACCGGTCCTGAGTACAGTGGCCTGATGTGCCCTTTTGAATGGAGAACGACAAGTACGTCGGCCTCTCCGAGTCTACTGTTTTTGTCCTTGAGATTTTTTTTAGAAGTGTTAATAATATTCTTTATTGTGCAGACGTCTCCACCCGGGAAGTTGCCCCTCCCCCTTGGTCCTTGGTGAACTTTGCTGACCTGGTCACTATTTGGAGATTTGTTGGCGACGACGAGTTCGGCCGGGCTACTTACATCCTCCTGAACTACACTCCTGGGTATAAAAAGTTCTCACAGCTCCTCTAGCCTTTCGAGCCTTCACGGTGGTCTGAACTCTTCGATCAGGCTGCACAACAAGAGGCCGAGGAGAACTTGGAAGAAGACCCCGACAGGGCTACCGAGGCGAAAGTAGAGGGTGTCCTTGAAGTTGAGGAGTTCAGGGTCAGAGAGGCTTTGGTTCCTTCGCACGTCGAGGTGAGGACTTCAGGGAGAGATTCGTGGCCCGACTTCCACATCCTTCAGTCCCTAGACGCAGAGGACGCCCTCGAGATAGCCATGTAACACACGCCTCGCATTGAGTTGGGATTCCTGAGGTAGAGGTAGGCCCTTGCCACTGGCAGAGGACGGGGGTCAACTAGTAGCGCCCCATCAATAGGTACCAGCGCTAACCCCCCGATTCCGAGGCCTACTGGTCGGGGTCAAGTGTGAGACCGAGATCCTCAAGTCGAGGAGAAAAGGAGGACCAAGTAAAGGCACGACGGCCCGGACAGGGGATCCAGGGCCTCCTCCGCTCAACAGCCAAGCGGGAGAGGTCGTGGGTTACCCCCTTCACCCCAACAGCAACAGCCGCAACAGAGGCAGACTCCAACTCCCCCTCTGCAAACGGTAGAAGCCGCATAGTGGAATCCTCGGGCCACTGATCATATGAA